ATCGAATTATGAAAAAAAAAAAAAAGAAAGGAATGTTCATAATTCTTTCATTACAATTGTGTGGATGCTGTTGGGGATACGTCCACCTTTCATAATTCTTGTGCTGGTGTTTGAGGCAGCCCCATTTGGCTGATTGATTGAATCTTTATTTCGAGTAAAATTCTTTATCAACTTTTGTAGGCGAATACAATGCTTAATATAGCATCATTAGATTCATATCATCAACAAGAGGAAGATATACATGAAATATATATTCCATGACTTGCAAAGAGAATTGATTCATGAGTCCTTCTCTTATGGATATGCTTACATCACCAAGCGAAGAATTTCCAACCTGAAATGTTATAGGATGATCTTGGCTGCAGATTTGGGAATGAAAGCTTTTCCAAATACCGTCCAATTCAAATTCTAAAAACTGCTTACCATACAGCTGAAATACAGTACTTGCTACCTTACGTCATTCGGTTGGTCCTTCTCTGTTTCTTTGTCATGTAAAATTCATTTTAGGTCCATAATCAACATTTAGTACTACTTTTCTTATGTTTTTCTTCTCAAGGACTGATAAAAATCTACAGGCCAAAACTATGGTTTATTTATTTGTTACTCGGATTTGGGAATGAGTGTCTGCTTATGTTCAAGTTTTTTCATATATTTGAATGATCATATTTTCATATTTATATCTACTAAATTTATGTCGGATGTGAAAATCTTAAGAAAAATGAAGAATCAAATTCTAAGTTTAATTCAATTTATTCATATAATTATTTTTAAAAAATGACATTTAAATATCAACAGCTGTAAATTTTTTTTTTTATCTCTGTGTTACAATTTTATTTATAAATAAATAAATAAATAAAGAACGTAAACAACATAATTTTATTCACTATTGGCTAAAAAAAACTAAGAAAATTTGTAAAATCGAAGGCAATCATATATATTAATGGAACTTGGTAATGATCAATATAAATTATTACACTACTTGAAAGAACACCTCTTTCTTCTTTAAAAAGCCTTCCACATACCTGACGTGAGGGAAAGCAATAACACCAAAAGAAAAATAGCAAAATTACAAAACACAGTAGTTTTAAAATCGGACTCTAATGCTCTCCTTGCTGATTGATGCTTTTCATAACCTTTTCCAACGCAAAGGACACTGCATTTTCTAACAAATAATTCATTTTTAATCCCTTTACCAACATCAAAGAAAAGGCCATCATTTGAAAAAAAAAAAAAAGGTTGCTTGAAAATAATTCTCACGTAATTTCGAATTTTCTTTCTGTACGTAGATTATAACCTGAACTTGAATTCTTTTGTTTTATAATCATTGCCATTATTAATACAAATTCATCAAATATCAACTATTGCATTTAACATAAAAAAACATTAAATTTACTATTATAGTGCAATTTGATTAATTAATGTTACTTGAATTGATCAAATTGGAAACACCTTTCAAAGAGCCAAGGACAACTAAACAGCAAATGCTCCATTATGGAATTAAAAGAAGGAAAAAGCCATGTTAGAAAGCAGTTTTTGTTGACTATATTAAGGCAAGATTCGAGTGGCTCTTTTGACTAACTACGACCATCCAATTAATCTGAAAACAATAGTTCTTAATTTAAGATTGGAAAGAAAAAAAAAAAAAGAAAAGGTAGTGGTAGACTCATAATGGCTAAAAGATTGTGCGTAAAGAAAATCCCACCATTGTGGGATCTGAGAATGAATCTTTGACTAAAACAGGCTGAATCTTCTTATGTATGAATCTTTGGAAGAAATTGCAGCACGAAATTTCAATATGGGAAAAACTTTTCCAAGATAAAGACGATCAAAAGCTGTGGACTTATTTACGAGTGGCAGCTGATTGTCCGCAAATTTAGAGATGATGTTGAGACCAAAAGGATGATGGTTTTGAAATTGTCGTCGAGATGAAGGCTAAAGAAAATGCAGAGTTTGTGGGGTTTGATTAATGGTCGAAACTTTACAAGAAAAGGGGTCTGAAAAGAGCAGCAAATTTCCAAATATGACAAATCAAACAATTAAAAAATAAAGAAACAGCAAGAAAAAGGTTTTTTAATCTTGAAGTTTCCGTTTCAAATTTAGGTTATATTTGAATGGATAGAGAAATTAATTACGGTGATATTAAAAATAATAATAAAATTTATTATAATTGCAATTAAAAAAATTATTGTAATTGTGATTAAAAAAATAATAATAAAAAATTTATGTTAATTTGATTTCACTAGAGTTGACATTTAAATTTAACTAATAATATGGTGAGCTTAATCACCCCGCAACGTAAGTGCGGTGAAATTCAAATGGGACTTAATCAGTTATAATTTTTTTTTTAGTTTTTGTTTTGAATTTAGGCTAAATACTCAATTAAAGATCTAATATTTATATGATTTTCAATTAAAGATTTTAACTTTAATTTGGTTTAATATAAGATGTAATGTTTTCATATTTATTCAAATAAGATTTTTTGTTACGATTATGATTTATAAGCATAAAAATAAACGTGAATCACTGTTTTGTAACATAATAAATAGTCAAAATAATCAAAAACTGTGTCTTTTTCAGCTTCTCTTCTCAAGCGAACCTTGTTTTCTTGTTCTTTCTAACCGAAGAGCAAACACTCATAAATTAGTCTTTTTCATCATCGATCTTATCGCCAAATACCACCATTGGTCTTCCTCCTTCATTAGCAGCATAGGTTCTTCATGGCTGAAACCACAATTTCTGGTTTAATCCCTCTTCTGTGTTATTCTTTCTCTAAATTTTTAAATCAAAATCCAACTACAACCTAAAGAATGAAGACTCCAAGAATCATAAAATCTCATTACCAAAATCCGATGCCATTCGCTGTTTATTGTGTTGCCGATCAATCAACACTTCCTCCATTTTCTAAATCTATTTTAAAACCCAAAAATTCTAAAAAAAAAAATCAAACCTAAAAAATCCCCTTGTTGAGAAATTCTAAAAAAAAAATCAAACCCAGAAGAAATTCCCAAAAAGAATAAAAAAAAAAAAACTTTTACTGAGAAATTCTAAAAAAGAATCAAACACAAAAAAATGTTGATAAATTCTAAAATCTTATTGCTGTGATTGCTTCTATGTATTAGAAACCCCTTATTGGATCAATTACTTATTTGAGACTAGTTACCGATTGTTAATCTTGCTGATGAATTTATTTTGTTAATTGTCTAACAAAAAATTTTTTCTTAGCCCAAAAAACTTCTCAAAACAATTAATTTATTATGTATTTTTTCCTCCCTTCAAATATTCAAAAACTTTACCATTTTTTTTTTGCTTTTCAATGACTTTTGATTGTGAATTGCTGCTGTCTAGCCTCATTTCCTTGATTTTTCAAAGCTAATTATTGTGCTTAATTGTGCTCTCTGCCTCTCTCTATTGATCATTAATTTTTAATGTGTTCAACTTTTATATTTTGTTCATTAGAATTAATGAATTCATTAAAATTAATGATTTGATGGCGCGTGTAAGCTACATCTGTAATTTAATTTTTGTTTGAACAAATTTCAAAATATTATATTTTATATTAAATTAAATTAAAACTGAGATTCTTAATTGAATAATCATTTAAACATTTAATCCCAACTTAACGATTTAGCCATTGAATTTATCCAATTTTGCACTGATTTGTTGACTTGCTTGTAATTCTAACTTTATAAAAAAAATAATAATAATAAATAAAGAAACATTTTTCCCCATGTGATTTTATCAATGGAAAATTTGAAATAGTACAAAAAATTATTATAATAACAGCAATAAATATGAAGTAATTACCCTGAAAACTATTTGCATAATTAAAATTTAATTTTAAAATAATACGTCATTGTTAAGCCACAGTGAACTTCTGTTTTAAGTCTACATTGAAAGATCAAACAATGAGGAGCATGTTCAACGAGGTCGGCCTTTTTTCTTTTTTCTTTTTTTTTCCCTTATTATTTTTCTAAGAAATTGAAGTTAGGGTCGGCTGTTGAATTTTGGATACTAATTAACTTAGCTCAGCCATTGTCAAAGTTTGATATGCATGCTATATTATAAGTCAACCTATTTTTTACGGTTTGACCTATGTTGCTTTCTTTAAAACCTTTTTCTTAAACCCAATTGTTGGGCCATTTATACCCAAGTATAGCCCACAGATAGTGTACTATGGTTTGCCCAGCCTCAATGAATAAACATCAAATTAGGGAGCTAATAAAGCCCAATTATTTGGATTTTCTTGTCCTATATTGCTAATAGAGATTCGGGCATTTGGCCCAAATTTAGTTCACAGAATTCTTTGATTGTCCTTATCAATTGGAAGAAATGGGCCTACTAGTAGTTGTGTGGGCACAGTATGAGTTTGTAGTGAAGCCGAGGCTGTGTTTCAAGTTCAAATTTAAGCTAATGGGTGGGCCATAAGGGCCCATCTCTTGACTTTGTACTTTCATGGTAGCAGTGATTGGCCCAACAAAAAGGCAGCCGTAGTTGTTTTCTTTGCTAAAATATTAAGATACTCTTGGTGTATTTTTTTTTTTTATAATTAAGTCTCTATATAATTATATATTTAAATAAATATTTATTTCAAATAAAAAATAATTTATGTTAAAAATTTATTTAAAAACAAATTACAAATTTATTTAAATGCAATTTAAAAAAAAAAAAAAAACTTATCTAATTAAAGTTGCAAAATTTAAGGACCTTTTTATTATTTTAGCTAGTTTTTTTACAAATGAAAACACTAAAACGGTTTTTTTTTTTTTTTTCTATTAAATCTATTGAAATCGGAAGCTAATTTTTCCCTGGTATACAACCATGCAGAAAACCATGCTGCATGGTAAAAGGAGGGGACTGACATCATCACCCTGCTGATAGGTATTGGATAGCAACCTCTTTATCCAATCACGAATAAAACCATTAACTATCAATTTTCATTTAGCAAAAATTCCAACTCAAATAGATTTAGAAAAACGAAAGGAAGAAATAAGAATATATACTTTTTTAAGTCAGCAGTGCATTCATTCAACAAGCTTTTAGGAAGGAAGCCACAAGGACTTCATAGAGGTCTTGTAACCAAGTTTTGGATTATATCTACATAACTACTCTCTACTCTACCAAAAAGGAAGAACCTCTATAGCTTGAAGTAAAAATACTAACCTACGAGAAAGATAAACAAGCCACCAATACGTATGTTACAGATATCACACTACCAGGGGAAGAGAGCATTAGGATACCGAGCATATCGGTTAGCTAGCGTTGATAACCAAACTCAAGAGCCGTCTGATCCTTCTCCTCCAGGTCATTTGCAAATGCTCTTCAATCTCTTTGCAGCCTGAACAAATCCCACAATGACCTGCAGCTCATCCATTTGCTACACCAAAAGAATGCATCAGAAATTGTCTAGACACTGTCAAATCTCATTCTTATTCAAAAAGGAAGAGGAAAAAACTAAAACACGCCTAGACTTAACAAATGGAAACTTATTGTCATTATCTAAACGTCAATCTTTTTTCCTTTCCAACATCCAAGAAGGTGTTTTCTACCAGTTAAAGTTTACTTTCACAGCTCTGGGAGAAGATGAAATCAGGTGTACAGTAGAATGAAAAAAAATCGAAAAGAAGCTCTGAGCAGTTGTGAAAGTTACCTGTGACATGAAATGCCTCTGAACAACATCAACTAATTCCTCTTTTGATGGATTGCGAATGGCATCAACCTAGCAATAGCAAAAGCAATAACATGTAAACTTTTATTTCTTTTGTTATGAATACGCTAATGGCAGTGCCGATAATTCTATTTAATTGTTTCTCCATGAAAAACTTACATGATTGAAGTGTCGCCAATATCTCCACAAAGCAGCCATCTCTAGTTTGCTGAGGTCAATTTTCTACAGGGGAGATATTATGAAAAAAAAAACAAAGCCGTAGTTAAGCAAAGAACAGATAGCTAACATATTTTTGCAATCCCTTATGATGGGCAATGGACAAAAACGACATTTATATAAAAACCAAATAAAGTTTTAAAAATTATATACCGTGGACCCACGGGGAGTGGAAACAGATCCCTTAGACCGCGACTCACAAGAAAGAGTCCTGCTCATAGTCTTCTGTGAAGAACCGACCGATTTATGTGTTCTATGCCTCGATCTGTGGGACTTTCGAATGTCATCAGATGCTGGAAATTGAGAGATTGAACAAGCAGGATTAATGAAGTGTTGTGGGACCAATAAAAAGATAAAGAAATAATACGATGGAGCTTTTAGAAATAGTGAAAGTTAGGTGAAGATAATGGATCCTATGTACAAAACTCAACCACTTTTCACTGGAGAAAATTATCATCCAAAATCACAACATTAAAAGTATTAATAACTAACACCTTCTTGAAGATTGTTTTTGGATTGAAAAAGCATAAGAGTTCAACCTTATACAGGAAACCAAATTTTGGAGAAGTGTGCAATTTTTTAAATAAAGATATCAAAAAACAAACTCACCCATATCTGATCCATTCCACTCCATGTTTTCGAATTCCAGGTCATCATCCTCTTCATTACCAGTAGGAGCTTCAATCACACTGAGGGCATTTCTCTGCAGCTTTACTTCTATGCCATTCGTAAGAACCTGTGATTTTATTTATTAGACAAACAATATCACAATCAGTTACAAACTAATATGATCCATCAAGTGGATGCACATGGAAGACAAATTTCCTGATTTTTGGCATGAAAGAATAGGTGGGGAAAAGAGATGAAAACACTATTCTTGTTTTAACAAATTAATTAAATCCCAGTGTTGGGAAACTAAAAGCCAAAACAAATTGGAAAATTATAGGATTGTGATAAAATAATCTTTTTAAACACTGTTACTTGTCAATTTGTCTTTCAATCCACTAGCACATCTAGAGTTGAAAAAAATAACAAAAATCAACATCAAACACACACGTCTACAACACGTATCTACGAATTTGTCAAAAGAGATCTGCAGTAAATAAGAAAAGTGCAGAAAAGTAATTGAAAAAAAAAATCCAGCTGTTTCTTTACAGCTTAGCAACAGTGGAAAGAGACATAATTGAATCAAAGTGTGATGATTTCCAGCAAGCTATGAATTAATCCCATATTAAATCATGCGATCCACAGAAGAAAGTTGCAAAAATAGGAAAAACAAAGAACAAAAGGAGGGGAAAATTTTCTTAAAAACCAAGGAAGCAAAGTCAAGTATAAAAATGATTGCATGTTTTAAATCTCGAGAGATTGACATCCAGGCAGAATCAACATCAGACTCCAGAAAATTAAACATGGGCTTCTTATTGAGAAACATTCCAAAAAAATCCAGGGCAACCCAATCATGCGATCGAAAAAGTAATCTCAATATAAAGATAAATCCCTAATTAATTTTTTTTTTTTAAATGAATAGCAATGCTTTAGATTTTAGAATAGATTTCAAACACTAAGGTCCTGAGATTTTATACAATAAAGAAAACACTTAATAAACCCCAAAAGAATAATCAAATTCATTGTAAAAATGTCAGCATAGCATTACGCATTAGCTAAAACACTTCAAAATTCCAGATCCATTGACAGACACTTAAATGCAATCAAAACCCACATCCAAAACCTCAAATTTGCAACTTGTGACCAATAAAAAACCATTGTTTTTATCATATAGAATGGTAAGTATCAAAATTCAAACAAATTAAGACAAGAAAAAGCTAAATTTGCAGTTTTACTTGAAAATAAATCTTATAAAACAGGACATGCAATTGTATTGCAGTGAAAAAAGAATCAATGCAAAAATCACCAAAAAAGTTATATAAATCAATTAAGTGAAACCAAAAGTTTTACTTTATAATAGCAAACATTAACCTTAAAAACCGCAAATTGAATCCACATTTCCTAAAAATTCAGATTTTAGTTCACTTGAAGAAAATACCAACGTTATAACCCATAAAATCAAGAGCAACCAATTTCCAGATAAAACCCCAAACCCCATTTCCACCAAAATCGAAAAAAATTACCAGCCAATGCCACCCGCCAAGCCTCACGGCCTTCTTAACCACGCCATGAAGACCAACGAGCACCGACTTAGTACGGTTATTTCCAGTGACGACCACCTTAGTATGACGTGGCAGCACCGCTAGCTCTTCTTCACTACTGTCTCCACAGCTCGGTAACCGCGAGAAACCGCCGCCATTGACGGAACTTTCCATTGCCTCCAACATGTATTTTTTTTTTCAACCAGAAAGAATTCCCAACTCAGTGAGTCAATCGGGTGGGTCAAACTCTCTGAAAATTCGAAGCGTTAAGGATCAAAATTGCATTGGATGGGAAGATCATGCATTGGTGAATACGTATATGGGAATTTCGTAAGCAAAAGAGTGAAAAATTAAGGAGAAATATGGGAGTTTTGATGGGAGAAAAAACACAGTTTAGAGAGAAAAAAAGGATTTTTTTTTTTAGTGAGAGACAGATGAGAGTGACTGGTTTTTGTTCATTGGTTGTTGTCGGTACGAATCCCGACGAATGGAAAAGGACCAATTAAAAAATGCCACGTAATGGGTGTTAGAGTTTTCTCGTTAATCATGCTTTACAGAGAGGAAAGATAGAAAAATGCTTAGATTGCGGCATGATTCGAATTCCACTAGCGGTTTGTTTTTTTCGAGGGAGCGGTTTTCTTTTTAGGGGTTGACCATTTGACCGGCTGTGAAATGGAGTTTGTGGGCATAGTAAATGACTCTCTTGCCCTTCTATCACATTGCTTTTTGTTTTTCGTTCATGCTATCACATTGATTTTTGAGCATACGAATTTTAAAAAATTTTAAAACGTAGTTTGTGTGTTTTTTTATTTTGGAGTTCGGATGGGTTTATCCAATGGAAATCCTTGTCGTTTTGGACTAATTGGATTTTAATTTAGAAAGTTGCACTACGCCGGTTTATTTATGGATAAAGAATCGAAGTATGGTTCGAATTTTAATTTTTATTTATAACATGTTCCCAATTTTAAGATACTAAAATTTATAAAAATTTGCTTGTAAACCTCATAAATCTCACAAATTTACAAGTGATATGGTCAAATTTATTTTACTAAAAAAATTAATTTTAATTTATTTATATATTAATTTTTTAAAAATAATTACAATTGAATCCATGTTCCATATCCAAAGATTTTCGTAGAAAAAAATTGATTTCTTCCTTCTCCGGGCTTGCTTGCTGGGCCTTTGAAAAAAGTCCACTTACCAGCCTAGGGACAACAACTTGACTGAGACACGAGTAGTAGCTCTTCTATCAGAGGATGCGAAGAGAAATTTTGACATCACAACGCAAGGGTTGAGGAACCTGACAAGGACGAGGGTAAAAAGTTATTACCTTTAATTGCTTTTTGTGTTTGGGATCGCATAGGCTCAGGAATTGCCCACAACAAAAAAAAAAAATTATAGTCATTGTGAAAACGTATGAGGAATCCAATGATAAGAATAACGATAGCAATCATCACTTTGAAAACTCTAATGGAGTGATAAAGCTTGGTGCTATCTGGTTGAGCCGAGAAAAATGAAGCTCTCAAGCTTCCGATGAGAACGACAAGAGTGTGATCACAAAGAGCCACCAATGAAACTAAGAAGATCAGCAAAATGTGATCGCGAAAAGCCACCAGTTGAGCCAAAAAGATCAATCAAGCCCCTCCCATCAGAGTACGCAACAGACGAAGTCGATTTTGCGACAGTCACGTCGACGTCATGTCAAGAGCAGGACGATCACGATCATGTGCCAAGGATCATCAGGAAAAAAGACGATCATCAATCTAGTATACGCGTGATGAAAGATCTGCATTCCCTAGCAACAAGAACATTGCCAGTACGAGTGAGGGAGAAGTGTACAGATTTTTTGCATTTTTTTATAGTAGAATTCGAATCTTCCTTTCCAATGATTACTGAGTAAGCTAATGCTAGTATTTATGATTCTTTCATAAAAAAAATTTTTATTTCATTTGTCTAATTACCCCTGACCTTGAAGCTGCACTCATACATAGCAGTTAATCTGCACACTATGATATAATTCACTACCTAGTGAATATGATACTAATTCACTACCTAGTGAATATGATACTAATTTACTACCTTACAAATGATGTACGTGTGAAAACAATTATCTAACATGATATAAAGCATAAGTACTTCCTTCCAAGTTTTTTCATTCCGCCAAATGCTGCTCTCTTTCTTCCACCTGCTGCTGCCGTATGGCTGTCGGATGATGATGATGATGATGATGACGACGACGACGCTGACAATGGAACTTCACCCCTTTGATTCCCTTTTGCATGCTTTGCAACCTTGTTGTTTCGGTCTTTACTCCCAGAAGCAGAAACAGGCACAGAGCCAGCGGTTTTGCAGAATTCATTACGAGTTGAGTTGCTTCCCTCAACACGAACTAAAGATCCTGCTCATAAATCAAAGATCAAAACTTTTGCATATCCCACGGGAAAATTCATCATAGCAATAAATTAAAGCTTAGGTAAAGGACGTAATGGGTGAAATACTGGTTTGAACTTGATAAAATATGTAGACGCATACATACACATTAACTAGACCGCAGACAAGCAAGTACTATTATCAGCAGGAAATGATGGTTATCCAATAGATTACACTACCATTTTGCATCATCAATGACATGCTTGATGCAACTAAAGAGGACATGAACTGAGATAAAATTCCAAACAAAGGCAGTTTCACTTGGCATTTGAAGGGTCTCTATGATCATACATATATATTTTCCAGGACTTAAAAAATGGTTAATGTTATATCATCAAAATCTTTGGCATGGCGCTGGTAAATTCATGCTTGCACATCATCATATCTCACCAGTAAAAGACATAATAATAAATAAAATGGAAGGTTAGGATAGTAGCTATTGCCTATGTTTCTTCCACTAAAATATGAATAGTGGGTCTTGCAAGGTTAAATTTCAATCTCGCTAAAGAATTAATATACTAGGCTGTAGTTAATGCTAGATGCATCATTCTTTATAATTGTCATGCATCCTCATTATTTTGCCACATGTTCAGAAACTTCTGTTTTAATGGTGTTCCCTCTCTTTGGGATATTGAGAAAAGTTTTCATTCATCTTACATTCAACTTGATGAGAAAAGTTGATCATGGTTCAGAAAGTATGAAAATTTTCAGCAGTCCCGTTATTCAGGCTGGTTCTAGAGAAATAAGTTCACAAACAACTTCTGATGCAAGAACAAGTAAGTTTGATTTTCAGGAGTTGGACCATGTGTCTTTTTCTAAGGAAATGTAAGAAAACCTCATATGATGTGAAGCAGAAAGAAGATGGTAACCAAGGAAACTTGACAAAGTGAGAAAGTTGACAAACCTAAAGTGGCTGAAACTATAACCACATCATCCGATTTGTTGGGCGCAGAGACATTAAGCCTTCTACCTGCATCATTCTGTTCTACATTTTGGTCCTCAAGGTCTTGCAAGAAAGCCATTGAATCAAAACATTCATCCGATGAAATGCTCATGGCGCTTGAATTTTCAGAACTTGAAGAAGATGCAGGGTTATCCAGATCCTTCAATTCTATGAAGTTACCTCCTGAAAAGAGATCAGGTCTTGAGAAAAAATCTAATTCGACTAGGTTCTCTCCTTGATGCTCTCGAACTGGAAGTCTCTCTGCAACAGCCAATACTTCTGTCTCGTCAGGCTTGTTCACCTACAAATAATCGCTAGACCTCAAATTTGCAAACAGAAAAACACCCAATTTTAATTATTGAAAAAAATGACAGAGAACAAAAACTCATCCTCTTCAGATTCTCTCCAGTCTCCAGATACACATAATGTCAATGAGTTGCCCATGGACTTTTTAGATCTAGTTGTCTAGTGGTATCTTATCAATCTTGTAAGACATCCTAGCACTCAAAATAAACTTATTTGTTTGATTTCCAGATTCTAACATTCATAGAAAATAGTTTAAATCTATAAACTACCAAATTGCACAAGTATATGCATTATGACAAACCATAGAAAAAATTTAGCTAAAGAAGAAATTATTCATAACTATTCAAATCTAGAATTTTCCTTGTCAGTGAGAAGAACAAACCTAATCAAAGCACAGATTTCATGTGCTAGGGGCATCTTGCTACTATTTTAGGTAACTCTAAAGGAAGTTTCAAATCTTCAATACTTGCAATGTTAAAAAAAAGTCCAAATAGAAAGTTTGGTGTAAAAGCCCTCAACTTGAAAGACTTATGTATAATTATTGTAAAACAATTAAAAAGTGAAACTGAAGCTAACTTATCCCAAAAAGAAGAAATTAAAGTGCCAAACTGACCAAAGAAAACCAAAGATGCATATACTGACATACCACAGGGTTGCTTGAGGAACCGATTCTTGTACAGCTGTTAGCATCCAGAACAGGAGGTTGTGCCAACTGATTCCTAATTTCTGTGTCAATACCAGCACTAGACACTCTCTGCTGCATCTCATGGCTGGGAACAAGAAACACTCTGCATAGGGAGCTCATTTCCTGCATATCATCCAACCAAACTGGTTGACTGGCAGGCCAAGTTGATATTGAAATCAAACAAGCATGTTAACACGTAAGCTTGTAGGACTTTCACTTTCAATAGAGTACCTTTTTCTCATTGTCATCAGACAGTCTCTTCAGAGTTGTGCTGAATACTTGCATCAACCAGTTAGTTTTACTCTCATAAGGGACTTGACCCTTATATTCAAGAGTGGTTCTCCAACCAATAATATCAGAGTTTGAGAATACTTCACAGGCCTCCTCTTTGATCTTCCAAAGGCCATGTTCCATATCAATGTTCTCCCTTGAGCAAATCAAGAACCAATGACCATCTGCATATAGCAATTAATTGCCATGAGTCTTGTAACTCCAGAAGACTGATCAGCTCGCATCATAATTGATGTGCAAAAGATTAAGTAACTCATATTATGCCTAAAACATAAACATGATTGACATATAGGTTTTGTGATGCAGAAATTTTTACTTGAAATAACATTTGGTTTATCACACTAGACTTCACCACCAACTTATATAACTCTTTATTCTTTTAATGAAAATAACAAGGTATTCCGCTTTTGACAAGGAGATTAAAATATCTCAAAGCCAAATTAACATCCTGCATTAATGGTATAGCTTCGCATACCCCATAAGAACTCAACTTTCTTAGAAAGTAATAATAAGAACTACCTTTCGTTGCAGCAGTCTTGAGGACATAAATTTAACAACAAATTTAATCCCTTTCGCTTCATTTCACATGCCATTCTAGGGCACATCTATATTCAAGAAATCTTCCATAACTTCATGATAAAATGAGTATAACCTGAAAATAAGGTCAGAAAGAGTCCAAGAAGATACGGCCTTTGGCATGGGCTGTATCAGAGACAAAAGACTTTGCAACAAAAAGGTGGATGTAAGTAAGAATATTGAACATGCATTTATTTTACAGTGGCAAAGAAACAGACTAATAATCCTGTGATGACATAATAGAAACAAAATCTTACTCATTACCCAACAGAGAAATTAATTAAATTAAATTAGTAAGGGTCAGAAAGAGAAATGATTAATTGTCTTAGTGATACACTATACTAGATTGTAGCAAAAATCCAAGTTATTTATTGATAACTTATGGCAAAAATAACAACCCTTACCAGGTAAATTTTCAGGATTGAGTCTGTAAGGATTTTCTTCAATAACATTGCTTGGTAGAGGATATCCACTGGTCAATTTGTACAAAGCAATAACGACCTCCTCATCGGTGCAGGTGAAAGAAAGATTCACTGGTGGGGAAGCTGTCGGAGTGGCCATGGAGATCTAATTTCAGAGAACACAAAAAACAACCTCATGACCGAATATTTTATCTGGTCCAGCTGTAAAAGGAAGGCCTTTCAAGCTGGTTGATATCAAGTTTCTGCTACTCATCAACACATAACAATACATTAAAAGAGCAAATCACAAAAAGTACTAGCAAATGATACATTATGTACACAAACAGAATCATACAGCATCAGCCAAAATTATCCAATTAGTAGATTAACAGTGAATATCCCTGAATGGATTAAGAGCAACTAACCTTTCACCTAGGTCAACTATAAGAAGCCACTCAAATTACCTGTTCTTTAAGGCCCAGGAGAGCTATGGAACACTTAAAATTGCATCAGACTAATTTTAGTTTAAGGCAAAGTCTTTAAATGTAACCAATATATATTATCATGGAGGAATTTTTTTTTTCTTTTTGTTTGATCTAAACTTTGATTCAGATGGTATTATTTTTCACAATAAACATTGATGAAAAAAATATAGTTTTCAGAGTAAAAGCAGCAAAACAAGACCATAAAAATTATAAAAGAAAAAAGGAAAAATGGGTAGGGAGGCTAAGGAGAAAAGCACACCTCACTTTCCGGTGGACTTGTGCTGCCGGATTCCAGCACTCAATCTGTCACGCAATATAAAAATTCAAAGAAAACCAAAAGATCAGCTAAAAGCTATGATTACTTACCTTCTGTTTGGTTGCCAAGAAAGTGAAGGTAAACAAAATTAAAAAGAAAAGAAACCAAAACAATGAATATATCTTTCAGCTTTCGGGTCCCTCTGACTCGTTGACTTGGTTGACATCAAAGTCCACTACTAAAACATAACGATAAAGCCTTCCACTTTCCCTTTCTCATCTAAGAATATTGTTATCTTTTCTCTTTTCCTTCCTTTTCTGACCAACCAAACAGAGGGTCTTTAGCTAATTTCACAAAACCAAAGTATACTTTTTTATCCACTGCGAGCTTTGATCAATACTAAACAAAGAAGAAAAAGAATTGATGTTTAAAAAACCAGAAGCAAATTAAAAGAATAATCGTTTACCAGCTTTTAGGACGATCCACCGGAAAGAGTGACTGCGTGCTTCGTTTCCTTTATGAATCACACCACTCTCTAGTATTAGAATACACTATTCGGCAACGAGAACACCTCTGACCAGCTACTTAGTAATAAAGAAACCATAAGTAACCCCGGTTAAGCCGCCGGGGTTAGATTTGGCAAAAACAGGGAACACGGGGATCTCTTGTTGGATGTAAATAACCTTGGTTATCCTAGTTGGCTCTTTGTTTTCAAGTACCAAATTATTTCACCCGAAAACTGAGAAATTATTAATCAACGGTATTATGAAAAAAATATTTTTTTTATAAATTTATTAAATTTAACGTAAATAAATTTATTTGAATAAATTAAAAAAACAAAAAGTCTAAAAATCTTTATATTAAAAAAAAAATGAAAGATGAGCAATATTAAGGAAGTGGAGTAGTCAAAATCCGAACCAGCAAGTTGTGATAAGATCAAGTCTTTAGTACTAACCAATGAAAATGAGATCGTCAAAAAAAAAAAAAAGGGCAAGTAAGGTCAATTCTAGAATAATCCAGCGGATTCTAGTTCTACTTATTAAAGTTAAATTTAATGTTTCTTACCATTGATTTGATGGTTTCATGGGTTTTAGGACAACCTGCTGTAAATGTAATAAAATTTATCTGTCCAAAAAGTGCCCGACATGACTCCATTTTTAGATATTTATGGTCCCATGTACAATAGATTTTTTCAACCTTTATAGGGAAATTATTAAATGAATAACAATTAGTTTTGGATTTGTATCAAAAGAAAAAGGCCTCACTTCTAGGACTGACAAATCGAATTTCAGTACTTCCTCTTTTTAGGGGTGGGAAGCTTACTTACGGCAATTATTACCATTATACTTGTATTATATAAAATATTAATAATTTATATATTTATATTAACATAAAATATAAAAATTTTTATTTTATTAAATTTATATATAATATTTATTAAAAATTTAAATTATATCATTTTTTATATATATTTTTATATTATTTTTATATCAAATCATTGTTTTATATATTAAATTATTAAATAACATTATGTTATGTAATTATGTTTTAACCCAAAAAAATACATAAATTTTTTTAATTTGTACTAATATATTCTCAAATGACTAGTAAAAGAATCCATTATGTTATAATTTAATTTGAAAATAAAAAAAAATTATAACTAGTCAAATTTGATTTAAGATTTATTAATTATTTTTTTAAAAAAATTATATGAACTAATTAAATTAAATTATAAATCTATAATGATCTAATTTTACAGTTATATGATTAATTTTTAAAAAATTTCCAGCATGTATATAAACCTATAAAATTTCAATTACCAAATTTGCAGTCATTCCATACGAGAATTTACCATTGTTTCACGTCTAATATAGTAGGCCTTAATTCTCTTGATATGCATATTTGGACAGACATGCTTAATACGGTCAAGACATGCTTACAAACTTACAATAAACCAAATGTACGGAAACTTTTTGGCATTACCTGACGTATTTGTCGGCATGGAAATAAAACAATAGTATTCCGACAATAAAGTATTTAGGAATTAGCGAAACTGAAAAGCATGCCAACGCCGCCAAGCGCATCTAAGAATAATTTTTTAGTAATATAAATTTTTCATTTGTCACTAAAAAGTCGACATTTAAGAATCATTCACGTTTTTATTAAAAGTGTAAAAAATACCTTAATTTTCATAAATTATTTAAATTTAATTTAAATAAAATTAAAATTCGATTGATTATTATTGAATTGAATTTGAGTTTGAGTAATTTAATTTATGGATTAAATTAAATTTAAATATTTTTATATATAATTCAAATAATTTATAAATTTAATTTAATTTTTATATTTTAATATATTTTATTATTTTAATTAATAAAATACTTTAAATTCGAATTTGAATATAAATAATCAAATTTTTGTTGAATATAAAAATTAAATTTATTTTTATATAATAATTAAACTTAATTTAATGAATTCGAATAACTTAATTTTTATCTCAAATTAAATTAAAATTAAAAAATTAAAATTTGATCGAGTTCAAACTGAATTTTAAGCTTTAAATTTCAAGTGAAACTCAAATTTAAACTCAAATTTAATATTATATCGATTTGAATTTACACTTTTAATTTGTGCAAAATAAGTTCAAAATTAGTTGTACTTATTTTATGAGAAATGGTTTTGGGAGGTATAAGACAAACGGCTGAGTTAAAGGGTCACCATAACCCTGCCTGGTTAATAGGAAGCGACGCCCCAAACAGCTAAAAAATTCTAAAGCCGGTAGGGAACTGAAAAGGGTAATCATGAAGAAAACAGAGCTCAAATATTACCTTAAATAAGAGCCAGCTTCCAACGTTCAACCTGTTTGGCAAAACCGAAAATCAAAACTTAAGGTTAAAAGAAAACAAAATTCTCCCTTTGTTTTCATGAAAAGTATTAAAATAATATTATTTTATATTTAATAAATATATAATTTTTTTATAATTTTATATTTAAATTTAATCTATTTATTTATAATTAATTAATTTTAAGTTGAATATTTACTATAATATTACAATCATTTTTTTGTTATATTTTTTAAATTTATCACATAATAAATTTTTTTAATCTATGTTTATACGCAATAAGACCTGTTAAAATAATATTATTTCAAATATAATAAATATTCAATTTTTTGTTATGTAATCTCAAGTTTGATCTTTTTATTTACTATCAATTAATTATTTTCATCTACAAATGATAAAATTGTTAAAATGATATTATCTCATATTTAATAAATATTTAATTTTTTATAATCAAATTAAATATTTTTATTTATTATCAATTAATTTTAAATTAAATATTTTCATCTTCGCTTTTTCATCATGAAACCTGTTAAAATGACATTATATAATAAATATTTAATTTTGATGATTAACTTGTTTGACATCAAATTCATTTCCATCAGGAAAACTTAAAAACAATAGTAAATGACGCAACCATTTCCTCCCGCTTCTTATCGTTCACATAAACAACACAAGGGAAGGAAAAAAAAAAAAAAGCAACAAAAACAGAATCACAAGATGTTGTAAACCCACATCTGTTATCAATGAAATAAAACAAGATTAATACTTAGATGAAAAAAGAAGAAGAAAAAGAGGAATTCTAACCTTGAAACGATCGGACTCGGAGGAAGCCGGTGACTCGGCGGTGAGTGACTTCGTTAATTTAGTTAGCTCAATTCACTACTCGCAAAGCTTTGGGGAGTATTTTATATGAGAGGGAGTGGAGAGGTTAACTGCCAACCACAAAACCTAACCAGGGTTACCCGCCCACAGTTAACAATGTTGATCGTACATCAAGGGGGAATATTAAGCACCGGTATGACGTGGCCATCCGTCATTGGCTGAGGTAATGGAATCCGGTTGAAGCAGTGGGACCTTACGGTCAAAATAAAAAATACTTTATTTTGGGGCGGCCGGCCTTCCGTGAAGCTTCCTTTACCCCGTTGTTGAGTTTTTTGACTTTGTCAACTCCAAATTTATAAGGATTTGGTTACTTCGTTTGTGGTTTGATTTTCCTACCCTGCAATAAAGCAACTTAGATGATCATTTAAAATTTTATTAAACAGTAATTTGATTTTAGTTCAATTCATTAATTGAGTCACTCTTAAAATGGAATATTCAATAAATTTAAAATTAAAAAAAAATTAATTCAAGAGTAAATGTCCTTTTAACAACAATATCATGCGTAAATAACGAAAATTAAATTTGATTAAAAAATTATGAAATTTAAATAGTTTCAGTATTCATATATAAAGAATGTTTTTTGTATGAAATAAAAAAGTGCTAATCATGTTTTTTTAGCTAAAAAGTTAAATAATCATATGTTTTTATTTAAGTAGAAAAATTTAGCTTTTAAAAATAAGTTGAAAACTTGAATTTTTTAGCCCTTTAAAAAAAAAATTTTTTTTTTCATATAGGGGAAATTGGGAGGCGAATAAAATTCGGTTTTAAAATCAACTTTAAAATTTTCATAATTAAAGTGTGAACTAAGTTGATGATTCTACTTTGCATATTATTTTATTATTTAAAATTTTTTTAATTTGTTGAATATTATAAATAATTGAATGAGTCAATTAAACTATTATAAAAATACATAAATTTTATAGTTCTTTTTAATTAATCTCATATAATATTAAATTTTAATTAATTAATTATACTATAATAATATTTATACGTGTAATATGCACCATCCATTATATTTGGTGTGAGTTAGTCAAAATATCGATTACATGTTGATAAGGTGGGGCACTCAAAGAAGAGAGTTGGTGAGCTATAAGTCTGGTTTTCTAGATGAACATGCTAAATATTTTGAATTGTCATCTTAATTTCTTAAATTTGACTTGTAAATGCAGAGATAAACATATATACCATTGTTAATTTAAAATTTTAAACAAATTTACTATGTTTTTTGAATAATAATAAAAAAAAACAGTAGGCATGCATTAGAAAATATTCTTAATTGAATAAATGGATGGATACTAATTGAAAATTTTTTAAAAAATACAAGAAACTAAAGTAAATTTAAATTAAATTAAATACTGCATTAATGTATTAATATATATGATTATCATTTATTATTATGATAAATTGATAACCACATAGTATTACTTAAAAAAATTTTAAAATGATACTCATGGGTTACGCTCTCCTTCGTTAATTTTCTATCTATTATTTTTCAATTCATTTATCAGTACCGTTCAATTGCATGACTTTCGCTATTTATAAGTGGACCATACATTTGTGGACGGTACTGATTAGTGTATTGAAAAATAATATAATGTGGTTCTAAAAGAACATCTGCTTATAGGCAACTGTTGACCAAATCGTTTAGTCATTCTTTTCCATCTAACTTGTTGAAAAGCTGATAAGTAGCCACTGCCTTCCGTTGCACGATTTCCGTGCAAAATTAAATTCAGACTGGATAATGTCTAATAGTAGCAGTCAGGTCAAATTCACCTACATGCTACAATAAGAGAAGCAAGCTTTTTGCATTATAGACTCCAAATTAATGTCAACCCTAATATATTTTAATCAATCAGTAACTTACCACATCTGTTAGAGGGAATGTTGATTTCACTTGCATACATCCCATATTCATAGCTGTAATGAGAAAGGATTCATAAAAATTAGTTAGTTGTTGAAAAGTACTCACCCGGTACTGTCATCTGATCTTGTACCCACTGTGGAAATACAATTAGAAAATCTTTAATCATGAAGTGCTTTTCAAGTTCAGACTTGCGAAATGACTCATGCATGAATAGTTTTATCCAAAAACTTCATCTATATAAACGTACTCTATCAATAAAACAACAGTTGACAGAAAAATCAAGTAACAATCATGGAAGGGACAATGTACGTTCTCTCACCACTTTTCTAACATCATTGACCTTGGAATCCTGTTTCAGTTTTTTTGCTGAAATTATTGAATTCCATCCAGAAGTGGCCACACAAGACTTTTGCTAATTCAACTCTTTTAGTTTGGTAAGATCTCGGATGGAAAACAAATAACACTGAGGAATCTCTGATTTCATAACGGGACATAGAATCTTCCCTATAGCATATAATACAAACTTTGCCTTGAATTCATCATTCCCTTGGTCCAATCTTTTCAGTTCTTGTTCTAACCACTGCAATTAGGAACATTGTACTTCCACCAAACAGTGTGAACATCTTCAGGTGATCCAGAGGTCACTAAATCAGCTCCTTTTGACGGCAGACCGATCACCCATTCTACATCTTCAGGTTTGAAATCTTTAATAATAAGAGGCCACCAAGACCAACATCCTTGACAGCTTCTATTCTCCCCTCACCCTTTTCCAACCCAGTTTCAGAGTCTATGAACAATCTTGGACTGCATCTACTTCCCAGGTAAAACCTATGTGATTGAACCAAGCATATATAAATCAATTTCAGACTAAATACAAGAAAAAGATTGAAAAGATAGTGAATTTTTACCTTCCTATCAGAAAATGAAAATAAAATGGTACGATAGAATAAATTAGACAGCAGAGAAATGGAAACCAAGCAAAGGTTTTTGGGGGTTTCAGGACATATGTTACTGAAATTATTTGAAATATTACCAAAAAAAGCTATAAAACAATTTTAGTTTTCAGTAACCTTATTTTTTTATGTTTTAGTTGCTTTATTCAATATAAATATATAAAAGTCAAAATTTTTGTCAAAAATTTTTTTCAATATGGATGGCTCGTGTTATTAACATGTGGAAATAATATAATTTTAGTAATTTTTTATATAACTTTATAACATTTAATATAATTTTTAATAAATTTTATAATAATTTTGATAATTTTTTTATACAAATTTGGTGACTTTTATATAATTTGATAACTTTTGATATAATTTAATAACATTTTATATCATTTTGAAAACCTTTGATATAATTATGTTAATTTTTAGCATAATTTTTGTAACCTTTAATATAGTTTTGTAACCTATGTAATAATTTTAATAACCTTCCTAATAATTTTGATAACTTTTAATATAAATTGAGTAATTTTTATATGGTTTTGATAATTTTTTATATATATTTTTATCTCTTTAATATACTTTTTTAGCCTTTAACACGATTTTTTTAATTTATGATATAATTTTGGTAAACTTTGATATATTATGATAATAATATTTGATATAATTTTGGTGATTTATATAATAATTAAGATAATCCTTTTATATAATTGTGTTAACATTTCATATAATTTTGATGACTTTAAACGAATTTTGTAAAATTTTTTATATAATTTTAATAATTTTTAATGTATTGTTATGGTATAATTTTGATGATTAATATAATAATTTTGATAACATTTAATACGATTTTGAAAATCTTTGATATATTTTTGATAATATTTTTTATTATCTTTGATACAAATTTAATAATATTAAAATTTATCACAATTTGTAGAGGCAAGAGGTTGTGAAAGTGAAACTGTCAAAAATCTCTGATGTTGAGAAATGAGAACACTGAACATAGAAACTGATCAGATGGTCTGTCGGATATGCTCATATCCAGTGGGTCCCACTCCCTCCAACGACTTGGTCCCACCTTCCTTCTTTCTTACAGTATTATATTTGGTCATTACTCGTAACGTACTCCGACCTTCACGCGCCACGTTCTTTTCTCCCTTCTCTCCACGTTTCCTCAGCTTCTCCACGTGTCCTCATCATCCAGCAGTTTCGACTCTAATCCAACGCTCTCAATTGCTCTCTTTTTATTTATTTTTAAATTAGAGAGAGCTTTCATGCATTCACCCACACTATATAATTTCTATGAAAACAAAGCAGGGGCGATGGGCAGAGTGTGTTTCTTTTTTTTTTTTTTTTTTATTGTTTGGGTCCAAACAGAGGACCAAAGATTCTTTGTTCTTTAACATTTTCCTTTCGCAGCGAAGGCAAAGCGTATTTCTCGTGAACCTCTCCCACTTCTTCCTTCTTTCCTACCCTTTTTTTTTTTTTATAATAATCCTCAAAAAGGCACCCCCACGCCTCGCCGCCGTTACTAGAGGCGGAGAGATGACGTCAGATGGGGCGACGTCGATGCCGGCGCCAAGGAGGAAACCGTCGTGGAGGGAGAGAGAGAATAACAGGAGGAGAGAGAGGAGGAGAAGAGCTGTTGCTGCTAAGATATATACTGGCCTTAGAGCTCTAGGAAATTACAATTTGCCCAAGCACTGTGATAACAATGAAGTCCTCAAAGCTCTTTGTGCCGAAGCTGGTTGGTTCGTTGAAGAAGATGGCACCACTTATCGAAAGGTATCTAATTTACCCTTCTCTTCTTTTCACTTTTTTACTGAATGATAGATCTATAAAAAAAAGAAGCTGTAAATTTTTTTTAACTTCTCTGCTCATTTTTTTGTTCTAATTTAGTTGGATCTAGTTCCCATCGTGATTTTAGTTTGGTTTTGCTCTCTGGGTTTCTTTTATCTGTTCAGTTTCGGTTTGATTTGCTTTTGTTTACTTGCTTGAAAGATTGGGTAAAAAAAAGTCATTGTTATGGATTCTGGAACAATGATTTTTTTTTTTTTATCTGTGTTGGAACTGAAACTTCATTAAATAACTGAAATGAAACTTTGATGAATGATGAACAATTTTTATTGATTAGCTGGTATTTGTTGCGTTTTTTTTTTTCTCTGTTTCCTGTATTATCCTGTTGAGTCTTGATTAATAAAGCATTTCCTGTTGATAATTTTTGGTTTTTAATTGGATCTGTTGTGCAGGGATGTAAGCCACCTGCAATGGATATACCGAGCAGTTCAGCTAAAATTACCCCATTTTCATCCCAAAACCCGAGTCCATTGTCTTCTGCATTTCCAAGCCCAATTCCTTCCTGTCAAGTCAGTCCTTCCTCCTCTTCCTTCGCTAGTCCCACTAGGCTTGATGCTGCTAATAACCCGTCTAGTCTCCGTCCATTCCTTCGAAGCGCCATTCCTTCCTCTCTGCCTCTTCTCAGAATCTCAAACAGTGCCCCTGTGACACCACCACTTTCATCCCCAACCTCAAGAAACCCCAAGCCAATACCCAACTGGGAGGCCATTGCGAAAGAGTCCATGGCCTCTTTTAACTATCCTTTTTATGCTGTATCTGCCCCTGCTAGTCCAACCCACCGTCATTTTCATGCCCCTGCTACTATACCTGAATGCGACGAATCTGATACTTCCACGGTTGAATCTGGTCAATGGATAAGATTTCAAATGTTTGCGCCTTCAATATCTCAAGTGCCGACGTCTCCAACATTTAATCTTGTGAAACCTTTGGCTCCACAAAATTTGCCCAATGATTTGATCAAAGAGAAAGGGCGAGGTTCAGAGTTTCAGTTTGAGAGTGGACAGGTGAAGCCGTGGGAAGGAGAGAGGATTCATGAAGTAGGCTTAGATGATCTGGAGCTCACGCTCGGAAGCGGGAAGGCTCGGTGTTAAACCAAGTGAGGCTAACAGTCCAATGTTGTTGTGAAAGTATGTTAAAACAGAAGAAAAAGCTGTTTTGCCTAGCCCTCCCCGGTTCTCACTGTCAGATATTGATGAAAGAGCATTCTCAGTTCTGTTGTTTCATCTAAATTGGAAAGCCTAAACCAAAGTTGGGAGGAATTACATTTTCATCTGCAATCGTTCCTTTCTTTCTTTCTTTCTTTTTTTTTTTTTTTTTTTTCAGTTAGTTTATGCTTACATTCCCTTGTTGAATTGTTAGGGAATTGGGTTGCTTTTACAAGCATTATGGAGTTGTTTTATCTTTCCTTTAGGCTTTGTAGGCTTGGGTTAAACCTCACAGAATGGAATTATTCCAGTGGTTTGTACTGTCAATGGATGTATGAATTATGATCATGTTGGTAAGATTTTTTATTTTTATATTCATGATTGAGGCTTCTTTCTTCATGTAGCCAATCACCCAATCAAAGTTAATCCTAACAAAGAGGCAAATGGAGATGTAAATAGAAAATTTATTGCTCGATTTATCCCTACCATCTATATTTACTAGCTGATGAGCACATTTAGATGACCACATTTAGATGACCTCTGGGCCACCACCAAGATTAATTTTTACCCAAGAGTTGGCTGCCTCTAGAGTGGGGATTGCCTCCGACAAACCCCACGTTTACTCAAAATAATCTTAGTAATAATGCACATCTCATAATGGAAAAAAATATTAACGAATTTAGATTGCAGAGCTGAACTGCAAGACCAGTCTCCATTGTGTGATTGGAATGGTCTAGTCTTATCCATATCTCTTCAATTGATAGAGACTCTAACCTTCCATTTTGTGTCCATCCGGGGGTTGGGCCATCGACCATGTAGCTTTCTGTCGGTCATCATATCATTTGTCTAATTATCTTGTATGTGAATTCGGATGCTTTCAATCATTATTACTTACCAGTATTCACATAACCAGATATCATTCGATTCAATTGTTCAAAAAAATACTGAAACTACACAATTGGCAAGAAAATAACTCAACTAAAATGAATTTATATAAACGATCGAACTTTATTACCGTAACTAAATGATAAGAACAGCAGGTTTAAGGTAATGTTACAAAAACTCTACAAAGACTACTGAGATGACAAGGCACACATAGGTTTTTACGGGAGCATTAGCATTTAGTAACAGACAACATCAGAAAAGAATCCTTCATTGTACAAAAACTTACTGGTTAGCTAGATGATACAAGGAGGATGAAGAAAGATTCTGCAATACCATATGGCGAGGGAAATACTGACCCATGTTTCAGAACATCTGGCCTTCATTCTCCTGCTACAATCTTCTTGTTACTAAGATCTGTGTGATTAGCGAAGAATAAGGTATGTGACTCAGGCATTCGCTAGCGAGATAAGCATGTGTTCTCCACATCTTTAGTTAGCCCTTCTATTTCGTCAATCTTTGGTTTTATATCCTTTTTGACATTTGCATTGCATTCTTGGTATCTGAAGCAAGTTACAAGATGATCATTAACAATTCCTACCACTTGCATGAATGAATAAACAACAGTAGGTCCCACACAACGGAAGCCTCTCTGCCTCATATCCTTGCTCACGAGTTCAGCCTTTGGGGTCTTAATTGGTACTTGACGCACATAACGGAATCCATTTCTTAATGGTTTGTGGTTTACAAATCCCCAGCAATAGCTACTGAAAGAACCAAATTCCTGCTGAACCTGCAATGTTTTAACAAACCATAGGGCTTTAGCATATAAGGATATCTTATGTTTCCATCATACACACTTGATTTAGCTGCCATAGGCAACTTGATGCCCTTTTTGTTTGTTTTGTGCGTGAAGGGAGGGAAGGGAAGTAAGTTTGCAGATGCAACAAATTAGCACTATCATCAATAAAACGTGTCAATGCTTGCTACTATATCAGACATGAAGCTACCATTTAAGGGTAATATATTTTTATTTTGTGAATGTATACAAGATATAAGAATTATATCAAACAACTGTCTAGGTGGTATGAAGTCAAAGCATTCAAAATGCTTTGCGATTTGTCAGTCTACACTGTATGACGCTGACATGCACCTAAAATAAGGAAGGGTGAAAGATTTGATGCTATGACCTAAGGATTGCTTATTTTCTCCTCTTTTCCCTCATCAGATAATCAGATATTTACCTTAAGCATCTGCTTAGCATTCTCCACTACTGCACGAAGCTTTGGTTCAGAAAGCAATAGGCTACCATCAACTTTCAATGACAGCATCTTCTTCTCACTAAACTGTGCAATTGATGATGGATCAAAATTGTCGAAAAGCTTCCTGCAAAAATAATTCAACAATAAACAAAACACTGATCAAATGCATTATTCTTCTTTACTATTTCTTATCTGCTTTTATAGTTGCAGCTTTACAAATAAATGAATAAATAAAGAGACGAAAAACTAAAGAAAGAGGAAAATGAGAGAATCAAGGTAGTATCTTGTTCATGACAAAGATACCTGAATGTGTCTCTCTTATTGAGAATTGCTGGCCAGCTGAGTTCAGCTAAGGCTTGTGAAAAGACCAGTAGCTCAAACAGCTTCCTGTCATCATGAATTGGAACACCCCACTCTTCGTCATGGAAAGAAGAATACAAAGGGTCTACACAAATAATGAAATTGTAAATTTCAATGTTAGCAGAAGACAAGATCAAAGACAGGCCAATGATGAATCGAAGTGAGAGTTAAACGAAGTGAGAGTGAAACAAACATGCACCTAGTGTTAATTATTAAAAACTTCATAAACCTTAGAAAAGTTAATGGAATCACACATACGACAAAAAATAATTGTAAAATAGCATCAAATGTAATAGAAAAGGCTATAACATAGTTCTGTTAAAACTCATTGATAATTAGAAACTCAGGAAGTCTAGGCATGTCAAATCAAATGGTTAAGATTCTTCTGTACATTTTTGGTATATTGCTATGAGCCCGTGAATGATATTATGGTCAAAGCCTTACTAGGTACTAATAAATCATAACATATCATATCAAAATCTAAGAAACCATGCTTTGTTCAGCTATTTGGCTAGCCTAGCACTGCTGATGCTACTGCACTACTCCAACATGCTCTAAGCCGCATTTGGTTCTGTAAGCAATCAGTAGCATTATCCTATGACTATTCCAAGCCTTCAACTCCTTCTAAAAACAGAAAAAGGCTCACATCCCGTTTCTTAATGGCTAAACAGGACTGAGCTTTTACGGGTACAAATGACTAAACCCTCCAATAATTGGCTAATTCAATAACAAAAAGCTCAATGCGGGGGCAATTTTCCAACAGAGAATGCAGGTACTGAACATTTTTCAACACGGCAACTTTGTTGGCATCGCCAGCTTGAAACAAAAAAGATTAATATGCAAATGATTTAACGAGTATCATCCTACCTAACTATCATAAAAAAGGAAAGTACATTATAATCCCGACAGAATTGCAAGAAAAAAGATATCACTGAATTTCCGGACATTTATTTCACTTTGGTGTCATTGTCAAAAGTCAAAACACTATGTAACGTAATAAAAGCTTTCAACTTCTCTAGCAGAGAAGGCTTCAATAAACCTTAAATGGTTAAACCCTCAACGTTGTCATCATTTATTAGGCACCGCCATGTTCCTATATCGAACGAAACACAACTATGTTCAATAAAAGAAATTACTGTCTCAGTAAAATCACATGTTGATACCTCAAAAAAAAAAATCGTAATTCAGAGTTTTTTTTTTTTTTTTTTAAATTTAACCAACTTACCAGAAAACTGTGTGATCCAATCACATCGTTTTAACGGTTCCGATATTACCGGAGATATGTCGGTGACAACCTCGTCAGCTGTTGGAGCAACCTTGGCTTTGACTGGCTTCACTCCGTTGCGCTTGACGGTTTTCCTAGAGCTTACCGTTTTGACGGAGGAATTGCTATAAGAAGAGTCAGAGGAACAGGAACTGTCGACGGAGACATTGCTTTGAACAACGGACTGTGGGCTCTGGGGGACTGGAATTTTCGGTCCTTGCGGCTTTTTTAGAGCTTCGGTTTTTCTCTTTAACTCATCCGAAACCCTAACTCTGTTCCCGGTGGGACCGAGAATCGCCCGCGTTTCCATCACCGATTTTGGTGATGACTTAAGCTTAATAACAACCGACATTGCCTCGAAAAGTAAAAAACCTTCAAACGTGAGCTGTTTTCCGTCCTGATTTGAGCTCTACGAACATTAAACTTGAATTTATATAGCAAATATTCGAATTTTACAGGATTTTTTTGTTTGAAGTGGTAAGAAAGGGAATTACAGACCTTTTGGAGGGTAAAACGGTCAAGACGGTGCGAACAGAGATTAAGTCTTAGAAAGCAGGAAAGCAAAGCAGAGAAGCGTGGGATGCGTTAGAAGACAGAGGAAGAGCTACGCGACGGAAAAAACAGGGGGGTTGTCGAACGTTTTTAAAACGGATACCTGTGAATTGTAATGCGTAAGGTACCGGTTTTAACCGGTGATGCGCCCGCGAGTCGGTTAACTTCTACCGTTTTAATTTTGAAAGGGATTGAATTTTATGTCCTAAGTACCAAATTTGCCCTTTCTTGGGTCGCTTAATTTAATATAAAACCCACAATTTTAAGAGGTGAATTATTACATAAATTTTTTAATGATAAACTAATATGAAATGCTTTCTTTAAAGAGATGGAATGGAGGAGGGGGTTCCACCATTATTATTTCACCATTTAAAAATCCAAAGTTAAGTGAACATATTTATTAGCAAAAGGTTAAAAACGGAATGTTGAAATAGTTAAATTGGAGGAGACAACCGGGAGGCGGCGGTTGAAGCAAATATTAAAAAGCTTAGGCTAAGGGTCGCATTCAGTTGGTAATGGTAAAATGAGTGGTGGTGGTGCTGGCAAGTAGTAGCTTTGCAGGGAAGTTTCTTTCCTTTTCCCTTACCGTTGGGAGAAAGAATCCAAAGCCTCCACCAGCTGCAATGCAAATCAAAAGTTAAGTTTGGTCGGCAACTAAGGGCTATACGAACTGGTCCATCTTCGGAATCGCTTTGATTGGTTGGGCCTAAAGGCCCATAAACTGATCCAGTGTGTTTGGATTTGACCCATTTTGAAAAATGGATTCTGGAGTTTGGACTGGTTTATGCCGAAAACGTTGCCGGTTCGGGTAGCTGTTTGCGTGGTTTGGCACGCATCTGAATACCTGTCAAGCGTTTCTGACATTGACAGTTAACATATCCCAACTCCAAAAGGACCTAAAACGTTGTCGTTTGGATGCTAATAAAATAAGAATTCTCTTGATGATCGTTTTCCATTTTCTCCTTCTTCTTGCCTTGTGTGTCTGAACCGCCATGGATTCGAAAGCTTCGACCGTTACTACATCGCAAACCCCAAACGCCCCAAACCCATCAAAGCCCAAAGAAAAAGACTTCCTGAACCATCTCGAAGCTTACCTCGCCAAGCGAGACGGTGTCGACAAGCTCCTCAAAATCACTCGTTACGCCACCAAGATCATATTAGCGTCCTCGGTCCTCCCCGAAACCGTCCCACTAACTCGCCGACTCAAGAGCTTCGAGTCAAGCGTCGGACTGAGTCGGAAAGCATTTCGACTCGGGAAATTTGTTCAAGACGTCAACGCTTTGAGAAACTCCCATTTGGATTCTAAGCAAGAAATTTTCCTCTCAATTATCGCTTACGGCGGCGAAGGTTTATATTATTTCGTTGAACAATTTATTTGGTTGGCGAAATCAGGACTAATCGACGCTAAACACTCCCGCAACTTACAAAAGATCAGTGCTTGGGCTGAGTTTATTGGGTACATAGGAAGTATTAGCCTTAAGTTTAGGGATTTAAAGAGGATTAATGAGGGTGAGGCCTGTTTGGATTCGAGTATTGAGATTGCGATTTCGAGAGGAGTCGGGTATAAGGAGGAAGAAGATAGGAAAAGGAAATTAAGAGAAAAAAAATTGATGAAGCAACTTTCAGTTATTCAAGATTTGGCTGATGGGTTAATGGCTTTGGCTGATATTCAAGACGGCAAAGGAAGCTTTTCGGATCCTCTTTTGGTGTCTTGCGCTGGACTTTTGTCGGCTCTTATTAGTACCCATAAAAACTGGGTTTCTTGCTAGGTATGATCAGAAGGAACTTAGTTGATTTATCTTATCATTATTATTACACTAATGAATCCTGAGAAGGATTTGGGGTTCTTCTGATTTTCATTTCTTTTATCAATAAATGCATACACAGGCAGTGGATTGATATGAATTTGTGCTAAATTCATTCAGGAAATAATACAGGTGTTGACTTAGTCCTTGTTGGTGAAGCTTGATGTTTTATAATGAATTTAAATGCTAATACATATGTTTGATCTGACTTCATTTACATGTATTCAACTGATTAGTGGGAAGAAAATCCCTTTTTATGTTTGTCATGTCAACTTCTTTCTTAATCTGTAGACAACATCATACTTATATGTTCTCGAAAAATAAAATTGAGATGGGGGATTATGTCCCTGCTGACTTTGCCTTCTCGTCTTCTAGTTCAATTTAAGAGGGCTTTCTTTACTTTCTGCAAGAATTTTTAGAATCAGGTGAAGGGAAAATATGTTATGATTGTGTTTGTTCATCTGTTTTGCCCCTTTCTAGTTTATCGATATCTTAGTGCAAGATCTTAAAAAATGAGTCCTAGAGCTCCTTGGGAATTTCTGGTTTGTTATGTGAAGGATCTTAATCCTTAAACTTTAGTAACTTTGTTATTTGAGGTTGGACATTGACTCTCAATCTCAGAATACACAGTTCCCAGCTATTTGAGAAAGAGCTCTTGGTTAGGATATATGGAGTAACTACTGAATCCATTTCTTCCCCTGCCTTCCTAGATCATTTTAAGATTATGCCTATATGATAATGATCTGATACTCATTAGGCCATTTATCTGTACTTGTTCGATGTTCAGATAACACATAATGTAGAAAGGTATATGCTGTTAGTGATTAAACCATCCTGAGCTTAGTGAAATTTTACCACTATCTTCTGCCCAAACATCATCAGAAATGCATCCTTTGGGTAATGAAATTAATGGTTGCTAAATATTCCCCTGCTTTAATATGAAATCTGCTTAATCAACAAAGTATTCTCATACTCTAACTAGGATTACATGGAGATTAAGGAAGGAAGATTATGAATTTATGATAATTCTTGTTCTATTCGAAATAGGCTTATCTTATAGCAGCAGCATCACTTTAGATTATAGATTTTAGAAAGTATAGTTTCTGGACTTAGATTATGGTTTCTTGTTTGTGATCTTGGTCGGAGCTCAGAAGGTTAACTTGTTCCATATTGTTTGTTTATCATGCGTGAATGTACTTAGGGAGTGACATAAGTGTTAGAACCAGGGCCTTTTTTTGGGGCCATGTTTATCTTAGAGGTATAATCGATCGAGTTCAAGTTGATACAGTACTAAGCTTGAGCTCAAACTCGACTCCAAATTCGATGCTCGAAACTCAACTCGAACTCGAACTCGATCGAGTTTTATTTTTTTAGCTCGAATTCGACTTGAGATAGAAATCGAGCTATTCAACCTAGCTCGATTAACATATAAAAATAAGCTTAATTCTTATATTCGACAAAAGTTCGATTATTTATGCTTAAACTTAAACTCGAGTTCGAAAGGTTTTATCAATTAAAATATATTAAAATATAAAAGCTTAATTAAGCTTACAAATAACTCGAATTGAGTATAAAAATACTTGAATTCGACTCGATTGACAAGTTAAGCTATTCGAATTCGAGTTCGAGTCATTAATAATTGAGTCAAATTTAAATTTTATTCAAATCGAATTCGAATAATATTTTAGTACTATTGTATTATTTATACCCCTAAAGAATATTGAATTCTTAAATCTAGGCATGCGGATGTCCTTAACGCATGGTTTAGTCATGGTTGGGCCTTGAGCATAATATTCAATTTTGCTCAACTTTGAGTTGTTGACGAATCCCCATGATAAGAAACTCATGGTATGTCATTTTATATCTTTCTTGATAATGCTATCTTTTTCTTGATAAGAAAGAAAAACGTGTTGTATATTTCTATTTGCTATTATTTCATCTAAAATTTTCATATCATATATTAAATGTTAAATATATATTTTAAAATTTATCAAATTTATATATAATTTTTATCAAAATTTTAAATTATGTTATTTTTAGTTTTTTATCGGCTTTATGTCATTAAATTTAGATAATGCAATGCTGTCTTTTTCTTGATAAGAAAATTATTTCGAAGAATTGCAAGTTCTGCCCTGATCTTGAAAAAAAACTGAAAAGAGACAAACGATTTGTGTTGGTATGTCGAAGGAACTCTTGGGGTCCACACACACTAAAACTTATTAAAATAATAATAATAAAAAAAAACCAAATAAATATGCAAATCAATCATAATCAATTCATGATACAAAAATGGTGGAAACGGAAGCCGAGTTGTTACGGCGGCTCCAACTAGTCCTTGGCCAGAAATCTGTATATGAACCGGTGGGTCGTTGGAACACCCCATTCCAAATGTCAAACCCACCAATCAACAACAGGTGTCCTAGTGTCATCGACTTTAGGAGCCAGATTATCCAATAGGCATTAGCTGCAGAAGCGTAGAAGTCGGTCCTAGGTTTGTTGGAATGAAATCAAACGGTCAACATCACAGGCATTTCATCAACGGCCTGAACGCTCCAACTCGGAATCTCTTCTCAACATAAATAATTTTCTTTTCATTTAGATAATGGTTTTTTTCCTGTCCAAAAAAAAAAGAGGAAATTTTTTTTTTTAAATATTTGCGCATCTAATTCCCGGTATTAAGCCTGGACTTCACAAGGGAGGCGGCGGTGGTGGTGGAAGATAGCAGAAACCATGACGCTTTTCCCAGATCTAACAAATGCTTTCCTTTTCGTTCGTAAACTCTCCTTTCCTCTCCACCAAACATTTATAAACAAATCCAAATTCCATTCCGAATCCAATAATTACCTGTAAAAAAACCCACCAAATTTTCTTATATAGAGATAAAATTATTGACACGACCCTCTTTTCCAAATCATTAGGTTTCCAGAAGCAACATGGAATCCGAACTCAAAGAACTCAATTCAAAACCAGCCAAGACCCAACAACCAGACCCGACCCACTACGATGCCTCCTCCAAAGACGACCGTCCCCTTCTCAAATCCGACTCCTCATCCGCCGAGAATATCCAGGAGCTCGAGAAGAAATTCGCTGCCTATGCTCGCAACGACGTGTACGGTCCCATGGGACGTGGCAAGCTCCCATTGAAAGAGAAACTCTTCCTGGGCATAGCCCTCGTCACGCTGCTCCCTCTGCGTATTATTTTAGGGATGACTATTTTGGTCGTATATTACTTGATTTGTAGAATTTGTACGCTATTCTCGGCCCCGAATCAGGAGGAGGAGCAGGAGGATTATGCACACTTAGGTGGGTGGAGGCGAGCCGTGATTGTCCGGTCGGGTCGTTTTCTGTCTAGGTCGCTGCTTTTCTTGGTTGGGTTTTATTGGATTAATGAAACTCATAAAGAGGATTCAGCAAATACCCAAGAGAACTTAAAAACTGAGGTAGGATTTTACTTATTGAGCATTGTTTAATAGTCTAATTTGGTAGCTTTTAAAGAGAATTTATATGACTTTTGTTATGTAAACTCCCAAACTTTAGTTAATAGACATTAACATTAAAAGAAATTGCTTGATCAACATTTTCCTGAATTTTCTATTTTTTGGGTGTTCGATTTTTCTACAGGGTACCAATCAATCAGAAAAGCAAGAAAAGCCTGGGGCTATCGTATCTAATCACGTGTCATATTTAGATATCTTATATCACATGTCCTCTTCCTTTCCAAGTTTTGTTGCCAAGGTCTGTTAACTTAGCCGCTCTTCTAGCTTTAATTAATGATTATGGTATAAAAGGTAAAATTTTGATGGTTAGCTGACATATTTCTTGTTTGGTTTTTTCAATTGGAATCCTTGGATTTTTTTGCTGAAGAGATCAGTGGGTAAAATTCCTTTAGTTGGTCTCATCAGGTGAGTTTATTTTAACCTCCTAAGTTTCTCCCGTGGTTTGGTGCAAAACAAAGTGCATTTTGGTTGTCATTATTGATTTTTTGTTTCTTATCAAATTGCTAAGTTCTTTTCTTTTTGCCCTTTCAAGCTTGGTATAGTTATGGTAGAAGTTTTGTATTTTACTTCACTCTAAGTTCTTAATCTGCTTCCTTAATAGCTTATGTTGCTGCAATGTCTAGCAAGTGACCTGTTTATATCTGAATAGAAATCTTTATGTTTGGAAAGAGTGTTGCGTGCATGAACGTGTTTTTGATGGTTATATATTTCTTTTGTATCCCACCACTTGTATATTTTCTCTATGTTGTATGTTGCGTTCCTTGTATAAATAAAATGGTTTGAATTGGAGTGATGAATGATATTTGGCTTGTTTCTTACAGCAAATGTCTTGGTTGTGTCTATGTTCAGCGGGAGTCAAAATCATCAGACTTCAAAGGTGTTGCAGGTAGAAAAACTTTTGATGTCAAACATGTTCTTCACTTCTTATTATTGATCACAAGTACAATGCCTAACCGGTCTCTTTTTCAGGTGTTGTGACTGACAGAGTTCTTGAAGTGCATCAAAATAAATCTGCTCCAGCGATAATGCTTTTTCCAGGTTAATTGTCTTTTTTGATCCACCATATACATTTATTAAATGGTTTAATTATGATGCAAGCGGTGCTGTATGGGTGTATATGTATGTAGCTGATGTTTCATAGCATCCTAAGGTTCTGTGTTTCCTATGCCTATCCCAACAAGTAACATTTGTTTGATTCATATTCATCTTGACAACAGAAGGAACAACAACAAATGGGGATTTCCTCCTCCCATTCAAGACTGGTGCATTTTTGGCGAAAGCACCTGTAGTGCCTGTTATTTTAAGGTACCGTTACCAAAGATTTAGTCCAGCATGGGATTCAATATCAGGGGTGAGTATTTCTTAAGCAAATTCAAGATGGCTTTGTGATTTTTTATAATAAATCGCACTCTTTCCTTAATTAAGTAGCTGATTAATACCTCTAACTGATTACTGGATATGAAAAAGTTAATACATATGAGAGATTTTGCTTTGTTTCTGTTAGTTATGAGGTGGTGCTCTCACTATTAGGTGTTTTTAATACAAATTGTTCGTGAAATATAGTTGATATTGGAACTAGGAATTCTTTGTTGGTTACACTGATATTCTGATGATGGTTTGTTGTTTGCTTAGTACATTTTATAAAATCTGATAAAAATTACTGTAAGCAACCCTTGTTTTTGTAATTTTTCTTGGTTTATCGAAGAAGTTTCAGAAGAACTGCTAAAGAGTGAAGATAATAATGTACTTTAATCAAAACGAAAAAATTTGGAAAAAAATGTTAATAAGATGGATGATTATGTGAAAAAATATATGATTATATTTGTCCCTGCAAGAAAAACATTGAAATTATTGTGAATGATTTTATGATAAGTGTATTTGTTTTATGACATATTTTCGTGCTGGTGTTAATGCTGTTCTATATTGTTCTTTGTAGGTCCGTCATGTGGTTTTTCTTCTGTGTCAATTTGTAAATCACATGGAGGTAACATGGTTACCTCTCTACTACCCCTCACAGCAAGAGAAGGATGATCCAAAACTATATGCTAATAATGTCCGAAGATTGATGGCCAGTGAGGTATGCATATACTATCAACTTGTCTTACTGAAAGGTATAAAATTTGTCATGTTGTTGTGGGAGCTCTCAGATATGTCTCTTAAATCACTCTCCACGGTTACAATGAAAGTGAGACTAGGGCCTTTCAAGAAAATGTGCTATCCTAACCAGTTAAAGATAAATGTAATTCCATTGACAGTTATCAGATGCTATAGTTTGATTGTAATAGAATTCTGAAGCATTTGTTTAAAGCACCATCCTATTTTTCTTCTGCCAAGTAGTCTCTGATATGCAAAAGAAAAACAATCTAGTCATATATTAAATATGACACTATTACTTGAATTGTCATTCATGTTAAAGTCAGTTTTACTTTCTGTTTGGTTTTTTTGCCTGCAGGGTAATTTGATACTGTCGGATATCGGATTGGCTGAGAAGCGAATATATCATGCTGCTCTCAATGGTAATAATAGCCTGCCTAGTGTTTTGCATCAGAAAGACGATTGATAATTTCTTGGCCTTGCTCCCAAATGTTATCTAAACTCAGTTAAGTTTCTTTGTTTGCACTGGTATTTTCATGAATACACAGACAAATCAGAAGGGGTGGTTTCGCCTCACTCATTTTACTCAAAATGATGCCATGTGCAGTTACATTGTAAACTTCTTTGTTCATGGAAATTGTGGTCAGTAGATGCAGATTTAATTTGCTTATGGAACTGATTTGGTCAGATCATCTTCTATAAGCGACTTCTGGGCTTTTTTGTCCTAAAATACACATTAACAATAAGTTTGACCATAAATTGCCCTTAAAAACTTGCATATAGAGCTACTGCATCTGTAAATCTGAAGTCTCTTTCGTGTTCCTGCAGGTTTGTTTTGACAAAGCTAATTTGGATTCGCCGCTGTATAGTCAATGTATGATTTTATTATTTATGTTAAAAAAAAAAAAAAGAGATTTTATCTTCATCGATCTGAAAGAGTTTTACCCGGAGCTGAATTGGCATGCTCTTAAAGCATGCAGGGACGGATTTAAAATGGGGGTGGTGGAATGGGGAGGGGCCCAACTGAAATGCTAATTTTTTCACAGTAATATTAATGTAAATGTTATAATTACAAGAAAATTTTTAAATTTCTCATTGAGATTTTTTTATTGGCCACCCTTCATTGAAATTTAATTAGTGTATGACTTTCATTAGCATAATAAATATCACTAAATGTGGTTCACTTTTTAAGAAAATTTTTTTCTTTCCGAACAATGAAATTACAAATAATGCTTTCATTTTAAAATTTCTCCCAAACGCACCCTAATGATTTTAACTGGACCTAAAACAATTACATTGTGGTGGGTCATCGACCACGATACGCTACTTTCTCCATCGACCACGATACACTACTTTCTCTAATCGTTGATGACCTGTGTTGTCATCAGAAAGCTGCATTAATTCATGGGCCTTTTTCGACAGTAATGGATCAGCATCTCAAAATAGATCTTAACAACACATTAGTGTCACAGACATATCATGACTACATACTCCACAAAGTAGACCACAACACCAAAAGAAATCTTCAATCATTAAGCTTATGGAGCCTGGCTGTTGAAAGTTGTCCTCACCTTTCCTTCAACAATACATTGTTCGATTTTTTTGATTCCCATGGTGGTAGGCAGCCTCTTAAGGGTGATTGTAGAAGTAGTGAAGATTTCTGCCGCATTGACACTGAAGACAAGCAACTGAAGGCACATCTCAGTCTCCTCTTCTCACTATCGTACGGTTGATAATTTGGATCGTGTCGCACAACAGAAGTTTTCAGGGCTTCAGGAAGAATGCAATTGCACATTGAACCTAACACGAAGAAAAGATGATTTAAGCTATTTGTAATTCATTGTGGACATTCGAGAGGCGTAATGAAACACAACATGATAATAAGCATGTGACATATCAGAAAATGCTTGTGCAAGTGATATAATAAAAAACAATCACTATGATCTTGCATGTTTTGGATGTAAGTGTACCTATTTTTGCCAGTCGGTTTACCCATTTGGGTATGTGCTTCCCAGTCAGCTTGTGACAAATATCCTTGCAGAAATGGTTGCAATTCTTGACGATCAAGTGATATGTATCTCCATTGTATCTTGCCGAATTGCACTCCATGAATTCCCTTACTTGGATAGGGTCCAGTGATGTGGTCCCGATGAATATCGATTTCCTGAACTTGAAGCCAGGGCAATGTCGTGGTTCAACCTCAAAAACACCACTGCTTGGGTAGTCATGAGCTCCAAATGCATATTCCACACCATGAACTATACAGTGTGTGGGTCAGGTTATCAGAAAAGCTAGACTTAGACTCAAAAACCAAATAGCAATAAAATGAGAACAGAATTATCAAGTCCATATTTTGGATATTTAATTTAAGTCCATTGCTTGATATTATGAATTCTGCAAAAGGTTATTCTTCCTCCCTCTGTTCCTCCTTAACAGCAGCTGCCTTAAAATGCTATAATGAGGACTATTACCTATCCTTTCTACCTTTATATTTCCAATTCAATCAATCAGCTCGCACTGGACAGAAACTATGTAAGGACAAATGAGAATCAAAACCTTTTCCAGATGCAAATTAAAAACCAAGTGAACAAAAGGGCAAAAGCACAAGGTAAATGTTATCAACCTACCTTCCACGCCAGAATGAAAGATACCAAGGCCTGCCCAGTAAAAATAGCCATTCATAGGAGTTAGGTCATATACATTGAGATACACTGGTGCACAGCCTGGATCGAAACTAGCAGGCTTCACCTTCGGGAAAAAACAACGAGAGGCTGATTTGTTTTTGAAAAGACGTGGCACCACAGATTTCCATCTCTTCTTTGATTCAAAATCCATATTTCTTCAATGTTAAGACCAGACTTCAATTAATGCCTATACAACCTGGGGTAAATGAGCAAACATTAGCTATTTGTTTTAAAAGAAGTAAACTATTTCATAATCACCATAGAGGCAAAAGCTAGAGAAAACTGGATACTGGAAAAGGAAAAAGATGAAAGAAATGCTCTAATAGAATTAACAGCTCTTATATTCAAACACTGCAACAGATAGTCTAGTTATAGCACATAGCATATTCAAAAGTACTTTTACCTCAGACAACCCATTGGGTGGAGATACCATAACAACATAATGGAGGTTCAACTCTTAGCATACAAAACGCCCTATGTCCACTGTCATGAATTAACATTTCCGATCACCGTTAATTCCATCTATTGACGTTTGAAATCCCTCATTCAACAACAAATATCAAGCATCAGAAATCGTCCTGAAGCATAGATAAAAGTTCAATGGTTAAAGGTTATCCTCTAAAAGTCCAGAAGTATCAATTTGCTTGACAGAGAAGAGATGGAACAAGTCAAATACAAGGAGAAGCAAACTGCTTTGTCATATGACAAAGAATGATGATATAAAAATGATTGATTTTTGTAGACTCGTATACACATTAGAAACTATCTTTTATCATCAAAGTACTAAAAAAATTAGGATACATTATATAAATTTAGAAGATAACAATGAAGATTAACAACCGAGAGAGACAGAGAAAAAGGTAAGGTCAACTCAAAGCTTCAACAATCCTTAATTCCAACCAACTGGAGTTGGCAAAAACAAAACCCCCAAAAAAAGTTAAACAACAACAAAATACAGCATATAAAACTCCCAATGCTAGCTAGTAGCCCCTGCATTTTATATGAAACTACATAAATACCAGAGATATCAACGAATTAACTCCCATAGCTGGGAAGAGAAAATTAAAGAAAAAGGAAAAAAAAAAAAAACCCAATACAGCATGATCCAAAATATGAAAAAGGTAAATTTTAATAAGAACAAAAATAGTAACTTTTAGCAGTAAATTTAACCATCATTTCCTGATGGAACTAGATTTTCAACATTACTCAGAACATTTAAATTTTCTGTATATGAAAAAAAAAAAAAGGAGCAATCTTTATTGGTATGCCATGAAAAGAAAAAAGTGGGAAAAAAAAAGGAAAAAGAATAAATTTCATAAAAAGACGAGAATCACTTCAGATCTATTAAAAACCGTTCATACCCAGAAGAAAAAACAATAAATCAAATAAAACAACAACAATGTAATAGATCAAACAGATTCAAAACCTTAATTTTAACCATTGATCCTACCAAATAAAACAACAATGCATAAGGAGCCTACAGATTTAGAGAAGAAGGCCATTAAGGGTCAAGCGAAAAGCAACCACCATAGCAAAATCGAAGCCCAGCTGGCATTGAACGAAACGTTTCGTTTTTCTTTATGGTAGCTAACGGAGGAAAACCAACAGAAGAAGACGAAGATGAAACTTTATAAAAGAGAGACTAATAATAAGTTTAAGCACCCACTTGAAAACTGGACGCTGTAAGCATTAAAGAAGGAGAAGAGAATAGGCAAAGCCTTATTCTCTCTTTCCCTCTCTCTTTCTTTTTTTCCCCTCTCAATTTCTTTTTTTTTTTTTTTTCACTCTGCTGCTCAATCACTGCCACGCCTTTTTCGGATAAATTACCGCTTTTTCGCTTTTTCAAGGAAAAAAAAATTTACATAACTTTCTCTTATCAAATGGGATACATAATAGTTTGCTTTATAAAAAATATAGATTATATGCCCATTTTACTTTCTTGAGTTCAAATAATTGGTTACAGGGTGAAAAAAAATTAAAATTTAATTTAGATTAATTTTTTATTAGATTTGATTTAGATTAATTTTTTTATTCGATTCGAATCAAATTTAAATATTAAATATATATATTATATTTGAATTAAATTTTAAATCGAGATATAAAAATTTAAAAAAAATTGAATTGAATCAAATCAATTATATATATTCTTAATTTTTATATATTTTAAATTTTTATAAAATAAAAATAATAATTTTATATTAAAATATACTTAAATATATTAAAATACTATATTAAAATAATATATAAATATTTAAAATTAAAAACCGATTTGAATTAAATAAAATTTTGATTTAGATTCTAATCAAATTTTAAATTTTTATAATATTATATAATATTAAAAAAATTTGAACTAAATTCGATTTGAATTAAATTGTTATCATCTCTAACTACAATAAATTGTCATAATTTTCCATCAATAATGGTTAGTGAAAATATATGAAATTTTAATACAAACCTAAGCTAACAAAGTTTGAATTTCACCAAAAAAATAATAATTAACTCAAAAAATATTATTATTATTATTATTTATCTTTTTAGTTTTTTTTTTTGGGTAAGTTTTTTAGTTTTTTATAACATATCCTAATATGCTATTTGAAAAAAAAATCTTAACTTAATCAAAATTTTCAACTTCTATTAATCATAGGAGTTTGGTTCACGAGTACTTATAAACCTCAAATGATCAAAGAGAGTTAAAGAGGGAAATAGTGTCACTAGACATGGATTAAGGTAATATATTTAATGAAACAAATATGTAATTAATATATTATTTTTTAAAATTAATAAAAATAATATATTAAATATAAAAAAACTTTTAAATAACATTTTAAATAATGCTATAAATTAGATTAGACTCATTAAATTTAAAAATAGATAATACATTAATTGAATTTTTTGTATAGAAAGTCAAAATCTAATTTTTCTTAAATATTATTTATTTAATTATTAAAGTTCAAAAACTTGGTTAGTGCTTTCCTAATTGTATTTGGCCAAAAAAAAATTATATTATTTTTTTATAATAAAAAAACTTCTATTACTTAATTGTAAATGTGGTGGGACTTAATGGGTGAATTAATAAAAAGTGTATTCTATAGTTGCCTTTGGTCGGGGAAATATTACTAATATATTCAGACATCTTTAATTTTGGTATAGAAAAAGACAAGTTGATGTGAAAGCAAAATTATGAAAGACAGCTAAGTTGGCCAGAAACTCGTGCAAGTATTAAATTCATTTACTCAAAAATCTTTCTGTTTGGGAAGATCAAATGAAGGACAATAATTTAAAGTATCATATGATATAATTATATTATAAGAAAAAACATAAAAATGATATAAATTAAAATTTTAATTAAATAAAAAATATTATATTTTTTATATGTATAAAATATAATATAAAATTATAAATATTTTATATTATATAAATATACGAATTATTTAATATATTTTTACTTTAATTCACACCTGTTTTTCTCATAGGATGCTGATGCACGTGTGTTCCACCTGCGGCACCGGAGGAGGTTCCGGCCATTTGTCCCGTCTCTCAATCCCATAGCATGTTAGACGTGAGAGAGTGGCAGTTTCAAATTTTATTAGCTGTTTCAGTTGACTTCATTTTCCGATCAATGATTAAAAAAAAAAAAAAAAAGGGCGTAATAACGACAATAATATAGGAATTATTGTTGATTTTTTAAATTTTTTATACTTTATCTTATACGTGTATTTTATGTGAATGATATATTACGTCAAATACTAATAATAAGATTAAACATATTATTAATTGATAATTATTGAATTAAATAATTAAAATAATTTAATTTATTTAACTTTAATAAACGATTTAGGTTTATCTATATAATTTTAATCTTAAACCATAGTAAAAACAACTTGAGATAATTGCACTTTTAATCTTAAAGGTTTATATATTTTTCACTTTCAATCTTAAATATTTAATGAAATTTGTTATATCGATTTTAAACATTATCAAATGATTATATTATTAATGTAAATGTAAAATACCTAACATGTTATATAAAATAATTACATTTTAGTCCTAAACATTTACATGTTTTTAACTTTCATTTCTAATTTTTTGATAATTGTTATTTTAGTTCTAATGTTTTTTTTATTTGAAAAATTACTGGTTCTAATGTTAATCATGTGTAAACGGAATGCACAAGTAAAACAAACGGTGACAAGATATCAATGCCATTGCTTTAGTTTCTTGCCTTAATATTGGTTTTAGTAATTATATTAGTTATAGTAATAGCTAACATCGATAATCACAGGTTAGGTCTATAATAATCAAAGAGAGAAAGAAGACTGGCAATTTGGCATGCCATTGCCAGCTTTTTCCTTACATAAATATCTTCTTTCCATCCAACGACTACTGTTCCAACCCAACTCTTCTCATCTCTTCATCTTTAGCAAATAAGGAACAGTACTCTGTCATTGTTCATGTTTTGTTACTCAAACAACATAAAATTGTACGGTAGATTTGGTGTACTTTAGTTGCCCAAGAAAAACCCATTCACCAACTTCACATGATATTGGCAAAAAAAGAAAAAATCATGATAAGTTTACGGTTATTATTATTGGTCCAAACAGGTCAAAATATATAGAAATAAAGAAAAACTCGATTAGAATGATAATGGCAGTGATTTGTCCTTTTCCTGTTATTACAAGAAGATAAGTACAAGTAATGGCCTAATGGGTGAGGGAAGAAGAGGTGGATGATGACCTCTTCACCGCGCAGGCTCTGCTCACATGAAGACAATGTCCCACCTTATCTGGTGGTCCATCTCTTTCATCTCATCATCAGAAACAAATTTTCCATTTTCCCTGTATAATTTAATCAATCAATTTTGATTTATCAAGGCGATTTCATGCTGTTAGTCAATAGTCATGTACTAGAACTACCTACCTGGAATGTTATATAGATTTTCATTTTCTCAATATCCTGGAATAAAAAACCAGTCAGTGGACGGAAACTTTTCTTTTCTTGTCATTTCTTTCATCAGAAATGAAAAGAACATTTCACTTCAAAATTGGAGGAAACAAGAAACAACTTTCCAATTTTCAAAATTCGATGGCCAATACAAATAGTGTAGCAGTTAATAATAAAAGAGAGCCTTGCTGTAGAACTTTCATCATTGTAAAATGGTTGTAAAAGCTGAACTTTTTGCTTGGCTAAATGCCAGAGAGACAGGCAAATCAACACGAAGAATTGACCAGCCGTACTTCACCTTTATATTCTTTTTAGGCAACAATGTTCAAACAACAAAGACAAATGTGCCTGTGCAGTCCAGCCCTTCGCTTTTTTTCTGTGCTAAACAGCAAACCAATAGGTCCACAAGAGGTAAAAATGCATTAAACCTTGTTCTTGAATCGTGTAGCATGGCTCAAATGATTACTAGATTTTGAATTCAAAAAGAAATTCCAACCAAAAGGCAAGTAGGTAACAAAAAGTTCAGGCGGGAGATTTAAAGCAGATTAAAAAAATATATCACAGATTACTGATCATACCCCTCTTTTTGCTTGTTCTTTGAGTGTAACATTAAACAACTTTGTGGAAAACTTGGACTTCGTCAAACTTGGTCTTCAGGGTGTTCCAAATATAGCTGTGGGATAAAACTGAATGTGTTTGCAAACTGCTACATCCTTACACAACCTATAAAGAATCAAACCGATGGCTGAAAACAAAGATGAATTAATCCTGAGCATCTAATTTTGCATCATTTTGTCGACAGATGAAACATCGCGGTCGAGCATACAGTAAATCACGCCGAACCGAGTGAGTTGAAATGAGTCCATGCATCCTGAAATTGCAAGAGGTAATCAGACATTGTATTGCCTAGCTACTGTAGGTGTAGCAGCATTATGAACGCGCTGAAACCAAATTTATCTTGCAACTGATAGATGCTAAAACATAATCACATGGAAATAGTATCAGACATGTCATGTTTTGATAAGTTGCAGCTAAGGGTTCATTGAGGTGAATAACAAGGCTGACCAAAAAATTAAGGTCAAGTGCCTAAAAATTGACAAATTTATATCCTATCGTCCTATAAGAAGAAATGTTGGTAGGTTAAACAGATTGTGGGCAATAAACCGGTATTCCCATGTGTAAGAAATTTTAGCTTGTGAAAATCCATGTAGGATCTGTATGGTAGCGTTCGTCCAGTTGTCTAAACTAGGAGATTGTTTGAAGTACAATAATTGATCATATCAAACAGATTTGAAGTACAATAATTGATCATATCAAACAGATTTGAAGCACAATTATTGACCATATCAAACAGATTAGGTTATTTTAACTTCTATTGTCACAAAGCTAGTTACACATGATGAAAATTTTCATTGAGAATACACATATGAAAGACTATTCAGTAAGAATAATATAAATAATTTCTCTACCGGATCAAAAGAAGCATTAATACATATCAATATGAGAATAAGTGTTTACAAAAATTAGACATTACCTGCAGAATATCGAAGACTTTTTCTGCAATGTACTTTCTATCTGAGGAAGCACCCTTCTGCTGTAGCTTATCTGGATGTAGACACAGCAGAGCTTTTTGGTACGATCTCTTCACAGTTGGTCCTTCAATAATGTCAACAAGAGGCACTGGCTTCCAGCCACTATCAGGCCAAAGAATCTATGTATACGACCCATGTTAGTCTTTTAGAGACAAAGAAAGTTCTTTACATTGGCCTCAAGATCACAAAGGATATTTCTTTTAATTTGTTTCATTTGATGAGTGATAACATTCCCTTAACCCTGACCAAACAAGGCTTCCTTACCACCCTTTATCCAAGGTGAGACCCGGTTTTCCCCTCTTAAGATGGAGGTAACATCCTCTGTGAAATACTGGAATGCACTTGAAGCACAACAAAAATGTAATATCCTTGGCAAAACGGATAACTATTTCTTCTAATTTCCCTACCAAAGCACATTGAGACCATTATTGGACTGACAAACTCAAAACAAAATGTGTAGTTTTTGTCCAATGTGGCTGCCTAAAGCTTCCTTCAATATTGTAGGCCATTTTCCTTTGTTGGAAACCATGAGCCAACTGTGAGTTCTAAGAATTTAAGGAGCATTGGAGCAACAGCAAATTTATTACAGTTAAAAGAATGAAAATATTGGTTTATCCCACTGACCAGTACGTTTAATTAGAAGCTTGACTTTAGTCTTCAACAATTTTCACTTGAAAAGTTAAAATACAGATCCATGAAAAGAGGGATATTTTTCTTTGGTACCCTATAGAGTTGGGGAATAATCAAGTGGAAATACATCATCACTGGCCTACATACTCTTGGTGATTAAAACAGGAGACAGCTTTACTTGAGAAGAGATAATGATTGAAGTTGGATCCAATTACTACTTACATATTGCAAGGTTGACAACAGTGAACGGATATTTCCTTGTTTTCCATTTGACCATTGCCGTATTTTAGCATCAATGGCCTGCATTAAATGAAGTAGTCGGCTGACAAATGTGAAGCAACATAGGTGTTTGTGCATATGGTTATAACTGTATTTAGTGTGCTCTTTGTTACCTTGATTTCTTCAGGACCAATGCCAAATTGTGGCAAAATTTTCCCTCCTGGCGTCAGGTCTTCTATCTGTTCATAAGCCAAAGTGGACCAGCCCATTAGCAAAGTGGACCAGCCCATTAGGAGTTCAGCCAAAATTATATCTTCCCCTACTAACAAGTAACAGAAATATCAACATGCTTTAACTGTTATTTAGACGGATATCCATTTTTCAGATTAAAATTTCAGATCCTTAATTTTATTGGAAGTCTAGGAAAGATAATAGAGTAATTAACTTTGCATATCAACCATTCAACGGGAAATGTACAACTAGATATAAAGCAAAAGCTCAGATGACTTTACTTCAGTTTTCGAAATGGAGAAATCACATACCAAAAAGTTGTCCTCAAATGACTCTGCTGGATCTTCAACAATAGTCTTGGAGCCATCAGAAACTGATGCCAACAGAGTAAGTGGATAATTAGTATTGAGGATTTGAAAATTAATGGTCTGCTAATTGAAAGAAAGGTCAAATGAAGTGAACATGAAAAAGATTTGATCTGTTCAAGGACAAGCAGAGAGAAGTGATATCAATTAAACATGATGAAAAAAGATGTCGTAGCATTTCATGTTATGTAACGAACCTTACTCCTTTATATGTAGTTTGAAAGTACCAGAAGCATATTACGCTGAATTCCATGAACATAATAATAAAATAAAATGCTAATTTAGAGTGAACAAGGCAAATTGTTCATGCAACTGTGACATCTCCAAACCAACATGTTTAAAGTATTTGTTATACATTTAATACTTCTATTTTTTGTTAATTATTCGAGGCAAGTAGTAGCAGATAAACTAACCGGTGTCTTTTACTGAGCTATTAGCATACTTTTCAGATGCACCGTTACACATATGATCGGCAACATGAACATGTGGAGATATTTTCTTCTTTTGCATGTTAGATATGTGAATTTTCTCATCCCTTTCAGTCATACTAATACTTGGCTCAGTCTCTGGCTTGACAGTATATCTTTCCTTCCATCTAGAGCTATGACTCCCAGAGACAGTGTCCACTCTAGGTTTTGGTGAAGCATCCTGGTTGAAAATTTTAATGAATTCTTTGACCTTTCCTCTAACTCTCTCTTTTCCATTATCCCATGAGTTCCTAGGGGGACTTTTTACACTTGTTGTTGTACTGGCCTCCACATTATTGGAAGTAGCCCTTTTCTTCACATCTTGTTTCTTGATGTTTTTACCATCGAGCATTTCAGAAAACTTCTTGGCACTCTTTTCAGAAATGTCTTTTGTTCCAGCATTTCTAGTTATCTCATCATTGCCTGTGTATATAAAAGAAAACAGAATAAGAAAAAAGCACATCAGCACCAAAACATATCATGTGGAATATGACTTACCCTGTTCATAATTGATGTCATCATCGAAAAGCAAATTCAGAGGTTTCGATTGAGGCTTGTGAGTTTCTTTCTCTCGTTTAACACACAAATCTATCTGAGGAAGGGAATAGTGGGTTTTTTCTTCTGCCCCTGAACTGGGCTGGACAGTGTCACCAGAAGCTTTCTTATCAGTACTTTTAAGCCTGCTTATGATTTCTGACTCAGACTTGGGAATGCAGTCTTCCTTAATAATTCGAACTGGTTCTCCATCTTCATATCTTGAATCAATAGGAGAGCCATGTTCATTCTTCTCATGTTCTACTCTAAAAGATTTAGCATTTGATGACATTCTATCAGTAGAGCGGAAACTATTATGCAATTTTGCTTTCGGTTCCTTTGCTATACTTTCACATGCTATCCGACAATTATCACTTGAGCACCTCCGCAGTTTATCCTTTTCTTTGAGTCTATCACTCCCCCTTAGAGGAATGGCTAATGGTACACCTCCTTTGTTTGCCCATTTGTATATTGAGAAGTGAAAGTGTCTGTCATTTTTTGAAATCTCTGAACTACTTGAATCTTCTTCTGAATTGCTTTTTGTTTCTGTTTCATTATACTTAGTCAAGTTTGTTGACTCCTGACTACCAGTAGATACCTCCTGAGATGAAGCACTAAAGCAATATGATGATTGAAAATCATTTCTCATTTTCTCTTTACCTTGATTTGCCTGACCTGGGAATCTTGACAGAGGAGAATGTGCATAAAAACTTGAACCATTTGAAGAGCCATCCTTGCTTTTAGATGTGCTACGATTAGGGGAGCCAAATGTGGGGAGGTCCATTCCTTTGTTCAATTTGGCAGGAAGGCTGGGAAGTTAAAGGCAGCAAAAGTAAGCTATTGGCAGAAACATGGAATCAGATTCACCTCAAATGACTAAACTGAACAATCTTTCAACACTCAAAGAGATTTGAATGGCCTCATCAATCAACAACACATTATATGTAAATAAAGGACATGAATTAGAGACAATATAAAATACTAAACCCTGTTAGGCTGTTACTACCAAGCCCACTGTTTTTTTTTTTTTTTCTTTTTTAACATAGAACAAGTGTAAGAATTTATAGATGCAACCGAAAACATGAAAGATGCTAATGCATCAGAAACTAGAAGACTAAACATAACTAAGAAACAAGAAAAAAAAAATCTGCAAGAATAGACAGATTTTTTTAATTTGATCTCTAATGGTTAAGAAGTAAGTTGTGGCATTTTCTAAACTGTAATTACCATTTCTTTGGATGTATTGCCCAGTAATATAACAAAATGAAGGCCAAAAAATGAAAGCCGAACCTGAATTGAGCAGGAAATGAACTCCCAAAAGGTTCAGCCTTTGGTGGCAAAGGCCTAGCCGGGCTCAATAACTGTGAACCTGTTGCAAAAGGGTCCTTCATCTCATACTTCCTTGGAGAAGAACTCAAAGATTCATTCCCTCTAAAAATATCATCAAAGAAATCATTTTTCGAGTATCTTCTCCGACTCATCCCTTCTTCACCGAACACGGGTTTTTCTCTTAAACCCGACCATGGATTCCCTGATCCAGCAACCGTTTCATCAGTTCTTCTAAAAGCAGACGACGAATCCGTGTTTTCACCAAAACCGTATCGTGTCTCTTGAATTGATGACCTCCTTGGTGGACCACCAAAGACATCATTAAAGTCTATATCTGAGTTTCTACCTGGAGTCTTAGGAGAAGAACTGGAGTTCATGAATGTCTTTTGAGGACTATAGCCTAAAAGAACCCTCTCTCTCTGTGACAATCTCTGCATCTTCAGTGTTGAAGAAAAATGGGAAATTGGCGGGAAATAGGATGATGCTGTTAAACTTTCAAAGGGGTTACATTAATTAATTGAATCAAATTGAACATGTTTTCTGTTGATGAAGCAGCGGAGGTTTCATGAGAAGGAAAATGAAAATTGTTTTGATAGAGAAAGTTCAAGGAAGGAAAAGAAGATGGCAGGGTGGGGTTAAATGTTTGAGAGGTTTATCAAAGATTTGAAGCCACAAAAGCTTAAGTGATTGTCTATTTTCTATGGATAAGATTAGAAAAATGCCAAAAAATAAAGGATAGGGGTTTACGTCTATTGTCTTTCACTGAACAATTTTTAAAACAATTTCTCTTGGCGACCGTTATTCAAGATTTTTTTGTTATACAAGGTTGATTCTGAGTCCGTTTTCATCAAACCAAAGTCAGATCCACAGCCTGTCATCATGATTTTCGACTTCTAGTCCTCAGATCTGCCTGATTTTTTCCCCTTCAAGGAGGAAAATAATGGTGATTGAGCAGAAAAGTTTCCAGAATCCGACTGCAACAGATTGAAGAAAGAAAAGGAACATCTGGCATGCTTCGTTGAATAATTGATGTATGTATGTTAAAGAGAAATGCCAAATCCAAAGATAGAAAAACGCCCGGACAAGATTTATTTGCCATTAATTTGTGGTTCTTCGTTTGCATCATCCCAGGGCCTACCTTGAATACAACAAACCTCCAAATTCAGATTTAAGTGGCAAGAATGTAATTACAGTTTTATTTCCAAAAAAGATAACAGGTTCTATGTAGGCTGTGAATGGTTGCTTCAGAAATCATGATAACAACTTATAAAAAGACCCCAGAAGCTAGGCTAAGAAAAGGACCCCAGGCGAGAAACATGTCGCCGCCCACCCTACGTGTCTTCCCACCATGTTTCATTATACAGAATTAAAGAGAGAAAAGTCCATGATAATTATAGAAGGAGCTTCTGTTACTAAATGAAATTTGGTGGAAAGAAAAAGCTTGAATTGTATTTTACTAGATTCATCCGAAGAAAACAACAGTCAGCTACCCCACGCTGTCATCTATTAGCAATTGTGATATTTCACTCCGAAATTTCATGCTCCTAACTCTCAAACCTTAAGAGGGAATGGATGTCTTCATTGAGACAGATTCATCGTTGCTCAAAATCACCTGTAGGTCTCTTTTAGACAAGTCGACAATAAACAGGCGGCCATATCAGGATCTCCTATTCATTTATGCCCGTCATCCTTTACACTATCTTTGCAATTTCTGAGTAAATTCGGACAATAAAAAGCCAATTTAGAAGAGGGATAATCACACAAAGTATGATGCAGACAGTGAAACAAATCTTTATCATGAAAAACAACAAAAACCTTAATAATATTTTTCAGTATGCGTATTACAGAACATGCGTATTAATTGAAGTGCTTGTAAAATTTGATGAAAAGTTACAGCAGAAATACAAAGCAAAAATTAAAAGGAGGATAATAAAGAAAGATATTCGACACTTTCCTCAGAAGAAAATATCAGATTAACCTACCCGCACCAAGTGACTTTGCAACAAGTGATCGGATGAGCCCATCCATAGGTTAACATGAGATCCTCAGCAATGCTACTCGTACTATTCAGAACCATCTGGGAAAGGGTCCAATGCGTCTTGCTTGCCCTTAACATAGAATTCCACAACGGCTTTCATTCTTCGAAGTTTATCTGGGTGGTAATTTACGTGAACAATTACAGGCTTTAACTTCTTCAGTTTAGCGTCTCTCCTAACTGTTTTAAAGAGGACCTTACTGTTCATAAACATGTAGAAATCCATAGTTCTCTTGACTGCATGAAGCCCATCATACCCAGGATGTGATGGAAAAAAGAGTTCCTCATTAAAAACAGCTTGGTCCCATGAGTTTTGTTGCCGAGCCATGCGATCAGCCACACGGTCTAAAAGCTCAATTGAAGGAATTGTAGGCCTTATATAGAAGAAACCAGAGTTGTAAACCCATATTCTCATTGTATGAGCATAACGTGCCCAACCCATGGCAGGCTCATCAAAGACATCATTATATCCGTAAGCAGTCATATTATTGTGACCATCAGTCATGGACTCTACGTCAGAGTCCCGATAAAGATGGTTGAATGGGTTTTGTAAGTATACTATATCAACATCAGATAGAAGAACACCATAACCCAGTTGCAAAAACTCCCTTAAAATACGGAACTTCAATCCAGACACAGCATGATTGCCTCCTGTTCTCCCAACAGCATCAATACCCTCATCCGGATCCCTCTTGTATACCGGAACATTATTTGATTTGCAGAGCTCCACAATCTGGTCATCTAAAGCTATAACTAGGTAATTAGTTATACCAACTCTCTTGATGCTAGAAAACCAAACCTCCAACATCTCTTTCACATTTGAATTGGCAAGTGCAACTATAAGCTCTTTCCGAACAGCAACTTCCTCCAAGATCTTAGCCAATCGCGGGTTCACAGAGTCATCGGGAACAACAGTTGGGTTAGTTCGCAAAGCCTTGACGGTACCAACAGGTCCAGCTTTGTGCTGTTCACCCAACATCAAAAACTGCTTCTGTGCATGATCTTTTCCTTGTTCAGCCAGTTGCAGCTTTTCTGTCAAATCCTTGACTTCCTTCTTTAATTCAGAATTCTTCTCCGATAGTGATACAATTTCAGACTTCAGCATCTTAATCCGCTCTGAGGATTCACATGACGAAGAACCAATCTGAAAAACAGAAGAAAAAACAATGCTGTACACATTAAACAACTAACAACAATGAAAAAACAAGACGGTACTTACTAACTTTGCAACATTTGGTGACATCCCACTGTAATTAGAAAGTTCATAGTCCTTTACAAATCATTATTAAGTGCAAGTCACAATATTAAATTCCATAGCTAACAATTTGCCATTGGCCATTTTATGCAACAAAATGTCCAAGGGTTGACCAAACTAAGCTCAGAGTGAAGGCAAAATATCAAACAAAAGACAGGAGGAAAACGCCTAAAGGGGACCATTGCCAAGGAAAATGGCAACCAGCTATTGCAATTTGCAAGTAAATATTCAAGATGGGTTAGAAAACGTCCTCCAAAACAACTCTGTTTCAAGATTCTATTACTACTTTTCGCCACGTAATAGAGCTAATCAATCTCGGTGCTGCTCGACCCTAGATCTAATTAGGCTTTATTAGGTATTCAAAAAGGAGAATAAAACAGTACCGTATAAGTTTTTGATTCGTAACGGTTTCAAATTCCTTTGCCTTGTATCCTAAAACTTACACTAGTTTTAAAGACTTTCCAACTAAAATCAAGTTAATTTAAATAATTTTTATTTTCCTTGGAACACCCAAATCTTCGAAACAAATCCTTTTTGACTCTAGAAAGAGTTAACACCGTTAAGAACACTCATTAATTCCAAAGTCAACTCAACCCAATTCACACTTAACACATTAGCAAGAACATATAAAGATTAAAAAAATTAATCAATGAAATTCTATGAAAAAGGTGAACCTGGAAATTGGATTTGCCAATTCGACGATTTTCAACAGAGGAAGTAGGGTTGATGAGGCCATGAGGGAAAAAGAAAGCGATGACACAGCCAAGAAGAACTCCGATCACAATGGCTATAGCAATTCGAGATCCGCGAAGTGACTGTACTTTGTCCCTACGACCCGCCATCTTCCCTTCTACTCAGTCCAACACTGAAACACAGTCGTAGAGCGAGAGGGAGAGAGATGAAGAAGTGATAGGCTTTTCCTTTATCTACTGCATCAACCGCTTGGTAAGTTAGCAATTTGAAGCTCCTCTAATGTTGTAACTGAAATATAGACAAAGGAAAAAGAGTTTAGTCGCCGCTGAGAAGCTGTCTTTCTTTGTTTTTTAGCAGACAACATTGAGAAGGTATGATTTGGTGCTTCGCCAGCATTCTATTTAGTATTGAGAAAGATGGAATCAGACCCTTCGTTTTGACAAGACTTCAAACTGTTTTCGTCAAAGAAATAATCCAACGGTTATATAAGATTCATTGACTTTTCCACTGTACTGGCGTCCTGAGAGGAGTTGGATTATCTGGATCCAAATTGTAGATAAGCAGCCGTTGTTTATCGAGGGTTTCTTTAATTTAGTTTTGTTTTTCCTAATTTTGCCTTTTTTTGGTAAATTTTTAATAATTAAGTGTACGTAGGAGCATAGACCATGGCTAGCTGTAATTTATTAATTAAGCAATAAATACGACCATAAATTAGAGAGAGGATTGAGACTCCTCTTTCGACCCACGGAACACAACTGATATATATTTCTATATTATATCAGATATGTATATACCATAAAATTACCCTGTTATATATATTAATACAATAAACATAAAATATATTTTTAATTTTTATCATATTTATTTATGATTTTATTAAAATTTTAAATCATATTTTCATGTATTTTTTATATTATATTGTTGCATCTTTAAAATTGCTTATTAAAATATACTTTTTTGTTTAATTTTACCAGCAACAAGAACATTTAATTTCATATGAAATACTAATAGCAATATATTTACAATAATGTCGTGGTTTGAACATGGAGACATCTTTCTCATGAGCTCTTTAGATAGTGGAAGAACGTAAAGGAGTGTGACAAAAACAAATAGTAAAGAATTCATAAAAAAGAAGAGAGGCTGTTCGTTGCTAACTGAAGAACAAAAGAACCTCCAAAGCCAACTGATCTTCATAAAGGATTTGCTTCCTGAGAACAAAATGAATCGCCGCAACGAAATCAAGCAAAACCAGGTTCATTAACATCCCTACAACATGTCCACATCCTCAAGAAGACTTGTTCTTCTGCATAACTAAGAATTAAAAGACATTAGGAATCTTATAAGTAAACATGAATTCATTACCATAGGGACCCATATATAAAGAGTAAGGATGTAAGGGAATGATCATGCAAGAAAGACACATCTCATTTTAATGGTTACGTGTTTATTTCGGGAACCAAAAATCTTGGCAGTGTTAATATAGTAAATAACTTTTACATGAATACCAACCAAACGGAGTCACTCCTAATGTTCATTTTGACGTAGGTCACACTGGCAGGCGACTGCTCAAAATTCAACTCTTATTTCTTGAAGCCTAGATTAATGTTCAAGAAGTGACGCTAGTTAGGTAAGTAAGGGAAAAAAAAAATCACCTGATGGAAGATATTAAAAAAATGAAATCCTGAAATTTTATAGGAACAGTCAAGCCATGTGTTTTGGAAAGAAGAGAACGCAAACCAGGGGTCTTTTTAGTTAAGTAAAAACAGGTTTTTAGCATAAAATCTGAAGAGTAACATAAAATGAACCTCATTTATTCCTCTTTATTTTCTTATTTTAGTTAACTTAAAAGGGATAGAAAGAATTAAGAGAATATGCAAGAGAGAGAGAGAGACATACTTCCTCGGAGCTAGTAATATATGACACAACAACAGTGATGTCATCAAGCTTTCCACCATAATAACGGAATCCAGCATCTTGAGCTGCGGTAGAGAAAGGGGTTTGTCGGTCTCTATCCTGTGCACGTTGCCGTGCCAATGCAGCTATCTTCTGAGCAGTCACTTGAGGCCCCAAACCAGCTCTTACTGCATGAACCACCACTGCAGTAATTTCGTTATTGTACAAGTTATCAAACAATCCATCTGTGCCAGCAATGATAACATCTCCCGGAGCAACAGGAACTGCAAAGACCTGATTTGGCCAGAAGATTTAGGTCATTCAGATATTTCATAATAATCAAGTAAAATAAAGACTCCCATAAATAAACAAGCTGGAAATTCCAGTTTAAGATAGAAAGGGGGAAAAATAAAGGGTGTGAAAGATGCAACTGGAATCAAAACATGCAAACCGATGCTTAATAAATAATTTGGTTGACCTATCAGTTATCAAGAAATATAAAAGGGTATCCTTTCACATTTAAATATTTAAGTTATCATCTGCAGGAAATAGTAAGCAGAAAAACGATCTAACATGCCAGAGCCACCTAAGCAAATGTCCATTGAAACACAGACTTTTTCTCATGATTACACAATCAAAATTTCATTATCATAAAGTCAAAATAAATGACCTTTTCCAGGAATATAAGAAAAGAGAAACATATGTAACTACCTGACCAGAGCTAGGTAAATCACCATTACTTCCACTCTCAAGTTGATATGTAAAATTAAAATCATGCTGCTGAACAGGGGATCTAAATATAGTACATCCATCTCGAACCACCATAAAACCACTGTCTCCCAAATTTATAGCGTGAAGACCCTGCAGTAAAAACCCAAAAATTTAATATACAATCAAGCAAGTAATTTTATACAGTTATCCCAGAAGAGGGTAATTTTAGAATAATACACAAATTCTCCATTCTAAGTTCTGACATCATTTCAAGTTTCACGAACCTACCACAAGTCATTGATGGAGAATTTAACCCCTATTAAGGTCATATGGTAGGGAAAACTTCTAGGCATTGCCCATTTCGTGTCACTCTCCACAAAGGATGAAACACCTTATAAATTCATTTGGACAACGATATCCAATTGCAAGTAATCAATTCGTCAGTTCATGTTAAGTGCAGAAAGCATTATTTTGGTTTGGATGAGAAGAAGGCTTGTGTTTAAAATAATTATTTCAGGAAAAAGCTACCCATGTTGGAACTAGAACATTGAACACAACAGGCAAGCCCAGAACAGAAATGGCTTACCTGGTCTGTGAGGGCTATGATGCATGCTGTTGAGGAACCTTTAGCTTTTGTGCTAGAGTGAGCTTTCTCTAAGACTCTCGCAGGGTCAATTGAACCCTTGGGCTCCTCCTGGATAGCAGATACAGAGTTAGACATGAGTTCCCTAGAATATTGCCCTGCATCAACACCCAGATCTGCCCAGCCACCAACTCCATCTGCTACACCTATTGCTTGTTCATCCACACATATGAAATGAGCATCCTCTCCGCCAGTATCTTCTTTGGCAGGATGTGGAAGACAGCATGATCCTGAAAGAAGCTTCAGAGTTTTGCCAGCAGAAATCTTCCTGTTATGGTTGTCAAACACAGCACAAATATAAATAGCATAAAATATTGTAACGATTTAGTAAAATAAAATTCGAAGCTGCAAAGATAACATACTCTTCTGATGACACCGAAGAATTGGCAACCTGTTCTTCACGCCCAGAATTATCAAAAGAAACATCAGGGGCAGTCCCAGCTGATAAAAAAGAAGGCAATGAGCTATGGAAAGCCCTTGAACCTGAACCCAACGAAGGATTAAAGTTGCACCATCTTTTTCCGACATTATAAATGAAATATCCATAGATTGGAGAATTGTTTGGTTTCTCACGGTTTTTCAAACTCATTCTAGCTTTTGTGCAACTATTCAAACTTCTATTGCCGTAAAAGATGTCAGCACTACTTGTTGATGATGAAAGATGCTCATGCTTTAACTTTAATGTATCAACAAGATATCCACCAATTATGACTCCAGAACTAGAAGCAGCCATAGGTTTACTCTGAAATTTGCTCAGTAATGATGATATTTGACTGGAGTCAGCAAGTGCACAATCAATATGATACCCACAAACCTGGAAAGCAGGGCCTGAAACAGATGGAACAGAAATAGTTCGAGAAAATGCTCCCACAACAGAAATGTTCCTTCTTCGGTTAGCTAAGAGAGAATCAGATCTTGCGGCCAAAAAAGTCCCTGTTTGCAAAATTCCTTGCAAATCTGCAAGCCCAGAAAATCTTAAAGAATGAAAAAACCTACAACTGCCAAACCCTACCTTCCCTGCTCCAATCAGAACTTCTATCGAATCCTGAAGCCCGCCTTCTGTTCTTTGGATTCCATTCTGAACAGCACTCCTCAGTCTCCAAAAAAAGGTAGATGGCATCTTATCCTCTTAAGCAAAGCAATTTTGCTTCAAACTGTCTATTACATAGAACACAAAAGACACTACTATATGCAGAAGAAAATCTCATAACTTTAACACATCTAAAACATAGATAATTCCCGCTTTCCCTTCGAAAAATAGCAGGAATTTAGAAACCTGAAAAGAACAACAAAAGTTAGCCGATTCCAAGTTAACAAACCATCTAATCAAACAAAGAAACAAATAGACAAAAAAAAGACTTCCAACGATAATGCCATAACTATGAATAATATTAAATTAAACAGAACAGAAGAAAATACATATAGCAAAGTTTACCTAAGCTTAATTTCGATTAAAAATCAATTTATGATCTAAATCAGCCAAAGAAAGGAATCATAATCTACCCGGATAGGATAAAGTTAATTCAAAATCAGCTGGTTAACAGAAAAAAAAAAAAAGAAAGAAATCATAAATTCCTTCTAAAAATTTTGCAAAACAAAAAGTCAAAACTTTAAAGAAAGAACAGCAAATTAACAAGGCAGGAAACCTCACCTTTACAGAGCCATCAAAGTACAAAAATATCAAATCGAAAACCCTAATCCCCAAAGTTCTGGAAAAACTAGAAAAGAACCGATCGGTTTAGAAACAACAGCCAGAAACCGGTTCTTCTTTCTGGTTGCCTTTATGATGAAACCTTGAAGAAACAAAAGACTCCAAATCTTGGGATGCAGAATCCTCTGAAACTCTGGCAAGAAACCGTGCAAAAAGTTTAAAAGAATCCAAAAAAAAAAAGTCGAGAAAGTTCTGGGCGGGGTAGGGAGGCTCAGCCAACGCAACTGAAACCCTAAAAATAGTCAACAGAGAGGGAAAGTGACAATAAAAAGTGAAAACCGCTAAATCTTTCCTCCTTTTACTTGGGATTTTTAGGATGAGGTTTAAGATTTTAATTTTTTAATTGACGAATTTGGCTGTTGGATAACCTTAAATTTACGAATTGGTGGTGGTTGTTTGGGGGATTTCGACAAGGGTAGAATTGTCTTTATATAGCTTAACGGTAATACGTAATCCGTATGTTCTTGGAGCCTAAAGATCGGAAGGGGAAAGTAGAAATCTTTGGATTTTAGGTTTTTGGCCTAAGGTTTTCTTTGCTAACAAAATTACCCTGTCCTTGCAATTTTAGACTTTAGCCAAGTCCTTGTCATTTTTCTTATTATATGGGTAAGTCCTCTGACTTTTCCATCTGCTTATTATTTTTATTTTTTTGCCAATCTATCTGCTTATTATAAAAAAATTTAACGAATTACATCTCAGTTTTATATAACTAAAGAAAATATTAATCAAAATAGCATGTTCAACGTATAAAAAACTCTCTTTTTTTATACATAGTTGAAACGTGTGGTATAATCAAGTTTTATTTTAATGAAGAATTCAAATTCTCTCTAGCCTTTGTTTGTTTTATGTACGAGTAACAACTAACAAGGGTCTTCTTCATGCTTAAGGATGTATCTATGATCTGTTAAAGTTCTAAATATGATTAAAAAAAAACTACTGGAAAAATACATCTTTTATACATATATAAGGTTAACAAGCAAATTTTGTTCGTTCCAGCTCAGATACTGATACAAATATTTTACATGGATGAGGAGCTCTTAAGAGTTTTTGACAACAAAGCCGTCATATCGAGCTAATACTCAGTTGGCATCCTTGTTAAGACTATCGGTACACCATATTGGGGCTGCAGGGTGATGAACAGCATTGGGGCATGAACATATGTTGGCGACACTGCCAAAGAATACTGCCTGATAATCATAGCTACAGCAATTTTCAACTCGACCATGGCTAAATTCTGGCCAACACAAATTCTAGGACCCAAACCAAATGGAATAAACGAGGCTGAATGCTTACGGAATTCTTTAAATCTTGCGGGATTGAATTTGTTAGCATCTTCTCCCCATATATCCGTGTCATGATAAACAGCAGTCAGTGCCAAATAAAGCTGTGTACGGGCAGGAACGTTTAGCTTTCCTAGCTTAACATCCTTGCATACTCGCCTCATCAACATCACTGCTGGAGGGTAGAGTCGAAGTGTTTCATTGATTATCATGCTTACCTGTTCATAAATTGATTACGCAATATTAAATCTCTGACTGTGAGAAAGCAAAATATAAATTGCAAGTTATCCTATTTATCTCAAACATGGAAGCTTAAGGTTTATCAGATTTATGCTACTGCTAGTGTTTAACCAACAAAAGCCTACATGCTCACAAGTCTGCCAGATGCATTAATTTGAATATGCCAAATCAGTCAGGAGATAAACTTACGATCTTCAAGTCATTCAAATTCTCTGCAACTGGAGGCTTATTGTTTCCGCAGATGCAAATCACTTCTTCTCTTGCCTTGTCTTGCCATTCCGGATTCAATGCCAAAAGAAGAAGTGCCCATGATAAAGCATTAGCAACTGTTTCCTTTCCTGCAAAGTAAAATGTCTTGCACTCATCTATAATTTCTTCCTCTCCTAACCTTTCTTCTTGACCATTCTGATTCTTATATGAAGACATCAAAAGACCAAGTAGACTTGAAGAATTTTCCCTTTCATTGCTGTTAGCCCGGATCAGTGCTCGTACAGATTCACGAGTTTCCTTCTCTAGTCTCCACCTCTCTCTATTATTCTTAGTAGGTACAAACCTGACACAACATTTACTCGGCTTCAGTACTTATCCTGTGCGAGATAGGCATGGACACAACATAGTTTACAACCAGATCAATCGTTCCAACTATTTTACCAGTACAATATATGTGTTTTCATATTTAATAAGCAAACAAACTTCTTACAGAAAGGTTACCTGAACCCTGGGATATAGACACTTCTTATAGCCATTGAGAAAAACTTCATCTGCCGTTCTTGTAACATAAAGATACGTTTTCCTTCTTCAAAGCTGCTTCCAAATGCTGTTCTGGATATAACATCAGCTGAGAGTTCATGAAGTTCTTTATTCACTTCCAATTCGAATTCATCTCTCTCCATTCTTTTTTCCTCCCACTTCTCCAGCATTTTCGTTGTTGCAGCCACAATTTCTGGTACCCAACCCTGTTAAAAGAGTTATGTGCAGGTGTTTGCCCCATACAAATAGTGTCGGTTTGAGTTATGACTTATGATTGATAATCAAAACTTTTCATCCCTTTTACAATCCAGTGGTGATGGAAGTTTGTGAATCAAACTACACATGGTTTTACATTCACAATTTGTATACTCAAAATATTATGGAGAAAGTATTAATTATATTTAACTTGGTAAATTATTCGATTTATATTTCTGATTAGACTAAACCCTTAATTCTAACAAGATTAAAAACCTGGGACGACAAGCACTTTTTCAAACGGGCTTAGCAGCTGACAAATCATCGAGGCCCATAATAAAAAAAGTACGAAGGATGTTTGATTTACCTTAACTCTTTCCATAGTAAAGGCCTGGTTTGCAATCCTCCTGTGAAAGGCCCATTCTTCCCCTTCCAACCCAACAAGTCCTTGTCCGAAGAGCATCTTGGACATGGGGTTAAACTCGATCTTACCAAATGACCCGCCCGTGTTCATAGCAACCTCCTTGATCACATCCAGGTCGGAAATTGCCAGCCTCGGTTTTGACCCGAACCAATACAAAAACGGCTTACCATACATGTTGGACCACCTGTGGTAGAACGGAGCCACACGGTGAAGGACATCGTGGTGGTGAAGTGGAGCTGGCTTGGACTTAGCTTCTTCAAACAGACGGCGGATCTCAACTGAGTTTCCAAGGATTGGACGGTACCCAGGGCCTGTTACTCCTTGCTTTCTGAAATGGGTTTGGATTCTCCAAGGGATCCATAGGATTGAATATACAAATTTCAAGAGACAGATGCAAAGAAGTGCTACGAAAACAGCAATTAGATGATTCATTAGTGCAATCTCTGTATCTCTAAGTGAGAGATAGCTGCGGACTGTTAAAGGTGTATAGGTATAGGGATCGGAGTTATCAAGAAGTGTTGAATTTGTTTGTATTTTAACTCATTAAATTAAAGCTTTGATGACTCTGCCTTTTAACCACTGTTGGACTTACATAGTCTACTTGCAGTATAGAAAATAGACTCCAAAGTGAAACAGTGGTACCCATTTTTGAGGTTATTAAATTGCAAATGCCATGCTTTTTAAACCTAATCTGTTGGTTCATTGTCTTACAGTAAATGGTAAGAGTTTTTTTTTAATTATTTGAATTAGAATTTGTTAGAAGATTTTTAAAAAATAATTTTTTATAAATTCATTAAATTAATACCGATTTAAAAAATATTAAACTAAGTGTAAGAACCCTAACTGCTGGAAAACCAAAACCATAAGTCATGATTAGTATTACTTTTTGGCCAATCTTAACTATTTTGCTTATTATAAAAAATTAAAATATTATTTCTCAATTTATTATAACTAAGAAAATTTTAATTAAGATAGCTTGTTACATGTATAAACCAAGTTGAAACATTTAGCAATAATCAAGTTTTATTTTAGTGAAAATTTTTCGAATTTATATTTTCATTCTTTAAAATCATTATTAAAAAGCGACCACAGCAAAGTTTAGATAATCTTTTAGTGTATGTCATCATTGACGTAACCATTTTGATATTTTATATATAAGTAGCAAGATTCTTCTTCATGCAGATGAAAATTACTAACAAATTTTTTCTTTTGTTTGTATCAGGTAAATAAACAAAATTTGTTATTTCGAGCTCATATAATGATATATGTATTTGTTGCACACACAATTTTACAAAAGAATGTTCATACATCATCCTTCGGTCACAGTGAAACCATACATTAGCAGAGTTGAATAGCAATATCTTGACATGGTAAATTCAGACATGTTTTACATGGACGAAGAGCCCTTCAAAAGCATCATACGTTTGCCCTTGTTAAGAGTATCCGTACACCATATTGGGGCTCCAGGGAGATGAACAGCATAGGGGCATGAACGTATGTCGGCGTCACTGCCAAAGAATATTGCCGGATAATCATAGCTAGAATTATTTTCATCTTGACCATGGCTAAAGTCTGGCCAACACAAATTCTAGGGCCCGAACCGTATGGAATAAATGGGGGGCCAAAGCTCCTCATGCTTCCGTTACCCACCACCGCGGCACCGCCCCTGGTCTTGAATTTGTTTATATTTTTAACTCACTAAAGTAATGCCTTGATGACTCTGCTTTTCAACAACCGTTTGACTTACAGAGTCTACATGCAGTACACAAAAGAGAGTCCAAAATGAAAGAGTGGTACCCTTTTTTGAGATTATTAAATTGCTGATGTCATGCTTTAGAAACCTAAACTATTGGCTTATCGTCAGACAAGTTAACAAACATTAGAATGAGATTAGCTCTAAGATCATAGTATATGCTTTTAAATATCTTTCTTTCCAGAAGGCAACTTCAGTATTCAACTACAACAATGGTGTTGGTGAGGTCCCCTTTGAAGGCAAAAATGGGGTTTACCAGTGGAATTCCTATTTCACAATTTGGCAGGCCAAGAAATGGTTTTTTATCTCATTGGCCTGATCATAGTATAATGAAGTAGTATGTTTTCAATCCGAAGTAAGAACAGCGGGTTAGCTACCACAATGCAGGGCAAAAGCAAAACACATGACATGTCCGAGACGTGTTCCTAGGACAGGAGGCTTAAAGCCTTTAAACCAAGCAAGCAAGAAGCCTACGAAACATCCATTTTTTTTCTTCTCTCATATTCGGAGTGGAACTGATCTAAGTTCCCACTTTCTCCATATTTTCTGAATGAGCAATCGTTCGTTTGAAACGCCAAGCAAAAACCCCACCACCCATAAAAGGTCCAGGGCCCTGCGGCCAGGCTACACATGCGCCTGTGGCTTGCCAACTCACCTTATTAAATGGGGTTCGACAGCTCTGAAATCTGAACTCGAAATGTGTCCGTATGCTGTTTAGAATTGACCAGCCGGCCCCCTTTCTTTGACCAACGCCATCATCATGGCGTAGATGCACCGTCATCATCAATCAATAAATCGTTTTCGAACTTGGACTGCTCAAAACTTTGGATTAATGAACTTAAATTGGGTTTTAACTGTGGTTAGCAAATTGTTTAAAATGTTTTTTATGTTCAGTCTTTTTGGTAAATTCAAACGTGTTGACAGACAGGTTCGAATTTGAAAGTGATACAACAATTAAAAAACAAAATAAAAGAAACGTATATAGTAGCATCAAATTTTGTGCTACATTTGCTAGCTGCTAAAAACAGAAGTTCCTGTACAACCTTTTTCCCTGAGTGATATCCCCGAGATTTTTTAAAGTTAAACTTTACCTCATAAGGAAACTAACTTTAAAAGGCAGTGCTAACAAACGCAAAGCCAAAATTAATGTCCAACTTTAACATCCTTCTCTCAGTTCTAAGCACTTGTGTCGAAGATAGAAGCAAAAGATTGAAAAAAACAAAATGGTTTAGCATTTCTTTTTCAATTCCTTTACCAGGGAATTGAATATCTAAAGAATAGCTGGGCCATTGGGCTTTCTCTCAGGCGCACCTCCCCATGTTTCTCTAGGCGAACGGCCTCCTGCCCCATATGATGTAGTAGCTGCTTCTCCAACATTGAAGCCACCTCCAAAGGAAGTGAGCAAAGCAGACAGTCCACTTGAGGAAGCTCCACCATCACCTATGCCTATGCCAAGGCCAAGAAGATCAAGCGTAGTAGGCCTGTTTCCAAAGAGCGAGGATGAGCCTATCATGGGATTAGTCAATCCAGAATTTCCATTTGAGGGAAGGCCAAGGCCAAGACCAGCTGTCATTGAATTGCTCTCTGACTTTACATTAGGATCCTGACCAGCAGAGGAAGTTGCTGATACTGCCAAGCCTAGACCACGGAGCAGTGACGGGTTTGATGCCGCTGCACCCATTTGGGCAGCTTTTTGTAGCAATGCAGTAGCAGACATGGCTGGTTGCGGAGACGGAGCATAGTGGCAATGGTCATGTTCAGTTCCAGTGAAGATAGAGGGGCCATTGTTGGAGAGGTAGAGAGGAGAGGAAAGAGACAGCGATGTGCGCTCTAAGGGTGCTGCTGATTGACGGATCGATGCTGGTGCTTGTATTTTGGATGGTTGAGAGTTTGGCGCAAATATGCTAGCAAAAACATTGCTGTTTGAAGTAGATGCCTTAGTTGCTGCTGGAGTTGGCGGTGAAAGTTCCATTGGATTTTCCGGTATTTCTGTAAGCATATATACAGTGCAAAGAAGACTGAGAAGCCATTGAGAAAATACAATGATGAAATTGAAGTATCAGCATAAAAACTAAAAACAAAACCCAAAGAAAGCAGATAGATTAAAAGGAAGAGGGCTTTTCTTTGGCTTTTTTCCAAGTCCCATAACTGTTCAAGCTTTGGGAAGTAAAAGCAAAGGCAATAATGGCTTCCTTTATTTCTCTCAGATCACCCCTTTTCGCTTTCCGATCATTGAGCTTAATTATTGACAAGATAACATCACGCTCGTGAACCCAAAGCTAACCTCCTGAACATCTTTCTCTCTCTAACTCTCCTCACACCTGCCGGATTTGTTAGGTTTAAGCCAAAATTTTCAAACGAGAACGACATCAAGAAGAGACCAAACAGAGCCATAAAAAACCAGAACTCCATTTGAATGGATTCTCATCTTTCTTCACCCACAATAGAAAAATAAAAACAATTTAAAATACCCCACGATTATCTCAACTTTTAACCTATCTAAATAAACAAAACCAAAAATAATGTGGCAACCCTGTATAGAGTCACATATAAAAAGACCCACACACAAAAAATTTACCTGAACTCTGAATCGACATACCCGGTGAAACTACACTAGTAGTAGACGGTGTTAAAGGCTGCGGTGGTGGTGATGTTGCAGCAGTAGCTTCTCCTCCAACCATACTTTTCCCATTCTCATTCCCATTCCCATTACCATTCACATTAACATTCCCTTCTGTAATAGCATTCACTAGCCTGTTAGCCCTTGCGCTTTCCTCAGCCAATGCATCGCAGAAAGCTCTATGCGTCATAAAACTATCCCTTCTTCAAGAAGACATCGTCATTATCACAGTCAAAAGTCAAAACCCAGAAACCAAAAACGCACCGTCAAGACGAAAGAAAAAGAGTTCGATTATGAAACTGAAACGGATGTGTATGTCATTTGTCTTTACCTAGAAAAGATGGTGCCACAATCGCATTTGTATTCTCGGGTGCCGCAAGTCTTCATGTGGGCCTTCCAATCGGACTGAACAGCGTATTTTTTAGAGCAACGCTCACATTTCCACTTCTTTTCCCCGTGTTTTCTGCAGAAGTGTTTCTTGATACCGGTAAGATCACCGAGGGCTCGAGCTGGGTTGTGGTGAACGCAACTTGGCTCAGGGCACACATAGACTCGCTTTCGAATTTCTTTGCTGGTTCTTTGCCGTAGCTTCCATGGTAAGTTATGGCCCCGTCGGTGGAGTTGAAGGTTTTGATCGCGTTGAAAGCCTTTGTTGCAGATCTCACAAACGAACCGGTTGGTAGCTAGTAGGGATTTTGGAGATAAAGCTATTACCTCAGCATCTGGATCTGAATGAATCAAAAAGAAAATAAAAAAAATTATTCTTTTTCCAACATTGCAAGACAAAAAGAAAGAAAACCTGGAAATTTAAATTATTCGGATATAAAAAAAGGGTGGACTTTGACTGTTCTTATAATTCACCTGGCATCCCAGGAAGATTTCTTTTCTTCTTCGGTGGTCCTCCTCCTCCTTTCGGTTGAGTACCTTGAATCTGATTAACCGAAGAAGATGCACTTGCTTCTCCAGAAGCTGTAGAAATTGTCATTGTTGACGAATTCTCAAGCTCCACCATGCTTTATTTACTCCAATATTTTACACCATGCTCCACCAAACCCCAATAAAAAACAACCCAAAAAAAGTTCCGATTTTTGTTGCCCGTTTTTGTTTGTTTTCAGAAGAAACAAAAACCCAGTTTTAGTTAGAGACTATCGAATTTGGATACAACACCCCAAATGACGGTTTGAATTTCAAATATTATGATTGTTTTCCAAGGAAAAATGATAAAAACATGTAAGAAAAAGACAAATGTTTTTAATCTAAGTGTATGGCTTTCATCTGAGTGAAAACAAAAACGAAACTAGTGAAATACAGAGACATGACCGAAAGAGCACGAGAAGAGGTCCCGTAAGGCGGCTTCATGTCCATAATACAGATAGAGAAAATAGTGAAATACGGACACTGTAAAGAGAGAGAGAAGCAAAGAAGAAATAAGGGAGAAGGGGATTTTAATGAAGTGAAAAGCAAAAATAAAACTAACTAAAAAAATAGTTAAAGCGGCGCCAGCTTTAACCATGGTTAAGTTTTTCGACTATGGTTAAGACATCATTTCCTCCTCAATTCCAAGTCGCTCCCCTTCTGCTGCGTTTCCAAATCTGACCGTCCACGTGTCAAGCTTCTGGCTTCCTGGCATTGATTGGGAGAAGCCGGGACTAGACGGTGCTCGTCGTTTAGTGAAATTCCTCGCATATTTATGTGTGAACCTTTTTCAGACTCAAACCAAAAGTCAATTATACCCCTACAAAAACAAAATTTTTCACCGTCCACAAGGATGACATTTTGGATTTTTCAACTCAATTCAACGTATGTGTTCCTCAACTGAGTAATAATAATTATGTTAAGAGTATAACATTTTTTTTTCTTTCTCGGATTTGGAGAAGAGAAAATAAACTGAATATTTGTCTTTGTCCTAGCTTACAGATTATGCGTTTTGTTTTAAGGTGATTTTCTAGCAAGTGTTAATGCAAATTCCTGATTCGATGAAAGATTGCCTCAGGAGCAGAAAGTGAGAGAAGGCAGAAGATAGTATTTTAAGATGCCTTTCATCGCTCAAATTAATTAAAATGTATAAAAAAACAAAAAAAAATAACGAGCAAGAAAGCAAATTCAAATGAGAAAATGTTGAATGTTTTATTTTTTTATATTTTATAAAATAATTTATATTTAATAAATTATTAGTATATAAATATTATATATTATCAAAAAATAATATAATATTATCTTATGTAAAAAATAATTTTAAGCATATTTTCTTTTAAAAATTTTTTTTTTTAATAAAATATCATTCTTCGATGTATTAATAATATCATAATGTATTAAATAAAAATTATTTCATAAATGATGACTCGTCTAACTAAATAGATAACTGTTTATCTTGAAATTTATTTGAACACTGATAATATATGCAACAGAATACTACTTGATTACACCTCTAAAATATAGGTAGAAACATTAATAGTGTAATGCCATTTAGGAGATAAGGACGACCAAGGCAATGAGACAAAACCTGAAAGATTTTATGTCCGGAAATGAGTGGCTTTCTCGTGATTATGCTCAAATTTTGTCCAATCTTAATTGTGTTGAAACAGCTGTTTTTTCCATTTTAATCTATATATACCGGAGGATATTCATGTTCCTTTGTCAAAATGACAATTATAGCTTTAATTTTCTTGAATTTTTTTTGTAAAAATATAATTTTTTTTAGAGATTGAACAATTTATTTGTTTTTAAATTTTTTTAATAATTTTTTATATTTGATTTAATTTCATATTATATATAATTATATGATCTGATTTAATTAAAAATTAATAAAATATTATTTTAATTTAAATATAAAATTAAATAAATAATTAAAATAATTATATATACATAAATTTACTTAAAACCATACTCCAATTTTTTTATTATTATTTTATTTAATCCAAAACTCGTTTTTTTTTTTTAAATTGACTCTAAAATATTAACTCGAATCGAAGAACGTTATTCAGACTGCCAATCCTAATTTAGAGTGGCAAGTTTGGTAAATAAAGCTGCATTTCTGAGCTTTTTTAAAAAAGGAAGTCTTTGATTGTCTCAATAGCCGCCCGCACGTTACAGGATTTTGGTGGTGACAAATGTCCTTGAAGGTCTCATGTGCTTTTACAGGCAAAATCCTTGAATTTTGTTTCTCCTGCAATTTTTTCAGGGCTTTGATTGTCTGTTTCATGAATGTCATGGCTTCATGCTGTTTCAGATTCAAGATCAAGATCACCTCCTCCTAAATGATTAAGGCTTTTTTTTTTTTTCGTTGAGAGTATTTTTAATTTTTGTCTGATTTCAATCTTTTATGATAATTTTAAAGAAGCAGTCTCCTAGATTTTCATGTTACATTCAAGTATATTTGATAATTTTTGTTTTTATATAATGTAAAATATTAATATATTATATATTTATATAATATTTTATATAAAATTTATATATTATAATTTTTATCGAAAAAATATAAAATATATTTTTTGTTAAATGTATTTTTTTGCTATTTAAATCTATACATTGATATATTTTTAGTCGTACTATTTTTTACATCATTTTTATATTTTTTATCATTTTTTAATCGTATCATTATATTTTTTAAAATTATTATATCTACATTTAAGATTTATATTCGTAACACTCTTTGTAAAATCAAACTTTAAAAAAATGATTTTTTCTCTTTATCAATTAAATTAGTTTTATAAATCTTAGATAACCATTTTTGTTGTTTAGATTTTTTTCTTTTAAATAATTTTTTTAGTATTTAAAATTATTAAAATTTAAATTATAATCATTAAAATTAAAAACCAAACACTCTATTAATAAATTATATAACTGTTGATCCCTCAAAATAATACTACTATATTAAATTCTTTACTTAACTGCCATTTTAAATACCTACTAATAAAAAAAAGGTAACTGAAATTTCATGTATAGTGCCAAATGAAGAAACTTGGTTTAACTTAGATGTGAAGGCAAAGTAAAATTTGTCTTTACATACAAAAAGGGCAACGACTTTTGCACAAGTAGAGATTCAATTTCAGCATGAGTGGCATGTGATTTAAGTTGAGTTCGAGTAAGCAGCACTGGCCTCCACTACCATTCAAACGCCGGACAATTTCATCAAGGCTGCCCCCCATTTCATGGACGACGCCTTTTGGTTAAATTAACTATCTCTTAAATAAGTTGATTATGTTATTTAAATAAATATTTAAAATTATGAATTTAAAAAAATTTAGATGTGTAATATTTTCTTTAATTAAATATATAATAGGAAAAAAATTTTAAAAGTAAATTAAAATTTTTTTAAAAAAATTATTGTTTTATTGTGTTTTTGGCCTTTTTTTTATATGTAATTTAACTTCATTGTCTTATAAGGAAGTTGGTCTGTGTATTAATAGTCATAATCCACAAATTATTGAACTAAGGATAATGATTTGGTAGGGCTCCGAAGTTGCATGTGCAACCAAAGCAAAAGTATGAACGTTGAAAAGGGTTTGACAATTATATTTTATTTGAAAACACATTAGCATTATAAGTTGATGATCACATTATCAACATTCATATATATATATATATATATATCAAACATGATTTAAACCTTAACAAGCACTTATACAAATAATCATGTTATTATTCATAAAATATGAACGAGAGTCAACAAAAATAAAATCAAGTATGCAAAATATTTTACAATTTACACTGAATATTCTTTTTCTTTTCTCATTTTATTTGCTTTTTTCTTTTCTCTTATATACTTAATTGATTTAAAACATCTCAATGGGTGTTTAGTTCACGAAATTATTGATTCTAGAGGAAAATGTGATCATTGAAAAAATGTGATATCCTAAATTTTTTTTCATTTTTAAAACATCTCATATTCAAATTCACTCGTTTGATTGAAAAAAATTCACATATATTAAATATTGAATAATTACTATAATCTCCTTAACTTATACGATGATAACTTAAATAATCTAATTTTTAATTAAAAAAAATTATTCAAGGTATTTTTGATCAAAATATACCTTGAATAATCCTTACAAAAAATTAAATGGGTTTATTCAATGCCTTTGTGATAAAAAACACATTGAACAACCCTTTTTTAATTTTTATGAAGGGATTATTAAAAGTATTTATGGTAAAAAATACCTTGAATAATTCATAAACCATAAACCTTAAACTCATAAAAATTTAAGAGGATTATTAAATATGTTTTTGCCTAGAAAAAATTTTAAATAATATTTTATAAAAAATTGAATGGGATTATTGGATGTGTTTTTAACCAAAAATACATTGAATAATTTATAAACTTTAAACCTTAAATCTTAAATTCATAAAAATTTAAAAGGATTATTCAAGGCAGTTTTGCCTAGAAAACGTATTAAATAATACCTTACAAAAAATTTAATGATTTATTGAAAGCTTTTTTTATTAAAAATACTTTAAATAATCCTCTTAAATTTTTATGAGTGTAGGGTTTAGAATTTGAGAATTATTCAAGTCATTTTTTATTAAAAACGCCTTGAATAATCATCTCACAAAAATAAAAAAGATTATTGAAGATATTTTTTGCTAGATATATTTTTAATAATCACATTAAATTTTTTGTAAGGGATTATTCAAAGCGTTTTATGAAAAAAAAACTCCTTATATAATCCCTAATGAAAAATTGAAAGAAATTATTCAAGACATTTTTAGCAAAAATATATTGAATAATTATTTCATAAAAATTAAAATAGATTATTAAAGATATTTTTTGTAAAAAATGTATTGAATAATCTCATTAAAATTTTTGTAAATGATTATTCAACGCATTTTTCGTGTCAAACGCTATATATAAACCATTTTTTTTTTTTTGTAAAAATCAATAATTGACTTACATTCATTTTTATACATGATTTTCAAAATGATAACTATTATTTTATAATTTTTTAATCAGATCAAATTTAAAAATAATGTTACTTTTTACCTGAAATCTTAAAGTATCACAAGAAAAAGTAAATTTTAGATTCTAAAACTTTAAATACTGTTAAAATTATATCATTTTTTAAAATTAAATTATCTTACATCAAATGTTAAAATCAAATACTAATAATAAAATTAAAAAAAATACGTGAATTTTTTCCAACAAAATGCACAATCAAAATTTTAATTCGGAATCTCTCATGACTTTTTTTTTCAATAAATCTGACAAGTTCAACGACTTAACTTCGGTCAAATTCTCTTTTTGACAAATTCAAAAGAACCCCAACAAGTACATAAACCTTTTTTAAACTAGAAATAAAATATTTTATTAATTTCTACGATATGCAAATATGGCAATTTATGTAAAATTAAAGAGGATAATTTTAAATTTGCAAGTCAAATCCTGTTTTTTTCTTTCTTTTGAAGGTTATGATGTCGTTTTGGGAAAGCATTAGCACCAAAGAAAAAAAGAAAAAAGGTTG